TTGTGGAGGTGATAAGAGAACAGAATCTGGAGCTATGGTTGATGCACCGAGGCACTGTCATCAATCCTGACCTTTTATGAAGAGAGCCTTTCAACTCCTGTGACTGAGTTACTTAAGGCGAGTGGTATCAGCAGCATCTGTGTACTGTGATCTTACACACACCAGGCTTAAAATTGATACCAAATGCATTAATGTGGTAGAGAAAGTTTCACAGTGTTCTCACCCTTGCTTGTGGAATTTTGTTGCCTTGTTGCCTTTGCTTTGATTTATCGGCCATAGCTTCTGTGGTCAAAAGAACCTCTTTGTGTCTGTTCTGGGCCCTCTTTGCCACTAAATGAACATGCAAGAAAAGACAGGTGGTAAGTAGCAGAGCAGAGCTGGCATCAGTGACAACGGACATGCTGAAATGAAAGGGAAGTGGATTGCAAAGTGGCTTGCAGATGTGGAACAACTGTATGCTGGAAACAGTATCAGCTGATCCATTAATTGATGTGGGGATAGCACTTGAATTAGCTGATGGGATCTTCAGCAGCTCCTGCATTACGATGAGCTTCCAGGACTGCAGCTGAGCTTGATTTTGTGGCCCGCCTGAATAAACTCGCGCTCAGTTTAATTCAGCTTCAACTTCAAAAGGGTTTCTGTAATCTCAAAGCTATGCCTGTTCTTGCATGGAAACCCTGTGCTGTTCTCTGGTCGCACTTTGCTTGTTTTCACAAACTCCGGGCCCCACTTTTGCATTCAAACATTGTATGGGACATCTTATCCTGTTTCCCTTCTCCTCTCATTTGTCTATCCTCTCCAGCCAGCCCCTCCAAATCCATATCCATCCATCCATCTGCCCTGAATCCACTTATATAAGGAGATAGGGTGTAAATATTTTGGTATGGAGTGTCAGCGCATATCTTCCCTGCCAGCGGGCCAGCTGCCTCAGTCCAATCAGCCATGTTTGTTTGTTCAGCTTAAACTGTTTGTGCCTTGTTTTCCATGGCATGTGACTCCCTCTAGCTTGATAAAGAGTCATACTTTTTCTTTTTCTGCACACACACACCCTCCCCACAAACACCCCCACCCCACCCCCACCTCGCTCTTGTGTATGTGTTCCCTGAAAGCAGATAGATAAGCCTGCTGGTGCAGTACTGTGTGTGCGTATGCATCAAGAGTGTATGTGTGAGAGTTGTCAAAGCTGTCAGCGTGACTGGAGTTGTTCTGGCCGACAGTCGAGTGTTGAACAGCAGCCCTTTTACTCCCTACAACACACACACACATACACACACATGCATACGCACATAACATCTGTTCCGCACACCACAGAAAGGCTGTGTTATTATGATGCAATCCTGTTCCGTACTGATCAACAACTATTTACAGCTACTGTCTGGAACATGCAAACATCCTGTCAAGGCTTGGGCGCTGTAAATAAGTACCTGTTGAGGCTAGCTTATTTCATCCCTGTGTCATCATTCCAATATTGGCTATATCCCCCTAATAACAACAACTCCCTATGTGACTGGAGCCAGGAAGTGATCTACACTGTCCAAACACAATGTCACAGCCCTTCAAATATATCCAATTCCAATGTCATGGCTGCGTATTGTGCAGTCTCCAGGTGGATTTGAAAAAGTGGCATTCTTAGTGGATGACTTTTTTTTTTTGTTCCCACTCCCCACCCTTCTCCCACCACCACATGCAATAAGCAATCTGGAGATTCGTAATGGTTTGGCCCAGTATTACAGGGCCTCCTAATGTATTTCATGCTTGTTTAAGATCTTTGCATGCTCCTTACAAAGGTGTGCTATGATGGCTGTAGCTTATTACCCAGTTCTGTATAGAACTGTAGTTCTGTATAGAGCTAGGAGACTGGGGGGGTAGTTGTAGGTGAGGGGTGAATGGATGAGGTTTTTTATTTTCAGTTTTCTCTCTCTCGCCTTCCTTCTGTCAGCCCCTTCTCACTCTCTCCTTTTCTTCCTCGCCGGTGATCTCTGCATGCCTATTAATGTAGAAGAGGAATGCCTGTGTAAACATTCTTGTTTCTCTGTTCATTTCGCATAATAGTTGCCTGTATCGCCTTTCTCCTGACCTCACTATCTGAAACCAATTACACCAGATCCATTTGGGCTGAATCTTATTTTCATAAGGATCCCCGTGTCGCGGTCTCGGTTGCTCTGTGTTATTTTCCCTCCTCCTTATTTTTTTTCCAACCTCAGTGATGGATATCAACATCAAATATGCCTCTGAGTGCCTTGTTATTTATATAGCAGGCCCTGGCTCTCTCTCCCTCTCTGTCTGGCTAGCGCTCTCATTCTGAAGAATGTGTCACATTGTGCTGTTTATACAATGTGTGCATTAATAGACTGGGGATGTCATTTTTTTGTGCATAGCAACCCAGGTTAAATAGACGGTGCGTCTGTACTCGTCTGTGTTTTTGTCCGCTCCAGCAGCTCTTCAGCAAACTTTTGATGACTTTCCTTGGCATTTGGTGCTTTTTCGTGCTTTGAGATGGGCTTCAGCTTTACCATCTCTGTGGAGTGGGAAGTGGGTGGCACAAATTGGTGCTTTTTACTGTAATGGCAGAATACTCAGAGCCGACGAAAGTGAGGGGACGGGACTTTTATTCCTCCCTTGCCTTCCACACCATCACAGGCTCTCTGAAAAATAGCTAACCCCACTTCCACGGAAGAGGTGACAGACAGTTTGAGACATGACAAACCACTCTGGAAAAGTTTGGCCGGTGTTGATAAGGTCTGTGTTATGTTTGGAGAGGGACTCTTTATGCAGTCTGAGCAGACTTCTTTTCTAATAAGCCTGGTGTAGTTGATCTCTCCGCTTCACCCCCATGCGTCACCTCTCACGCCTGCACCTCCCTCGGTATTTACTCGGCGTGGATATTGGAAGCGCAGTTAAAAACATCTCTGTCTTTGTACTCGTGACCGTGTGAAATATATTGAGTGGCTCTCTTGACTTTGGGTATAACACAGCGAGTCATTATTGATTCGCACACAGATAAACATTTCCCCCTGACAGATACCTTGAGCTGCACTCATCAAGCAGCCTTCCCTCTAACTACTGTGTGCAGGACTCAATAAGCCTGATAATTACTTTGATTCACCAATCATGGCGAGATTAATTAGGCCCTGTGTTTTTAATTAGCGATGTGATTGGCTGCATTCAGAGAATTTGTGTTGTCTTTCAGGAAAAAGAGAGTCAAGCAGTGTTTGATTTCACATCCAGTTTGTCAACAAAACTTTATGTGGCTGTCTGTGCCTGCATGCTGCAGGTGTTAATGTGTATTTTAGTGTGTGTTCCTAAGAAAGGCCAAGGCTCAGTTTACAGATGTCACATGCACACATGCACACACACATACACACACACAAAGCAATGGCAACTAGGCTCATCTTACCAAGGAGACAGATCAATGCAGTTAGGACCCAGTGCCAGTGTAATGTGTTTGTTTACTTCAGTCCAGAAAGCCTGGCTCCTCCTGAGCAGCCAGACAGAACCCCCACACCACCACCACCACCACCTCCACCTTTACAATCCCCCCCCCCCCTCCAGTTCTGTCTTTTCATAATTGATCGAGGGGGTTGTCTGCATTCCCAAAGGGGTTAAGATGGGGCAACTTTTTTTTTCCTCTCTCTCTCCTGCCTCCTCCTCCTGTTTGCTCAGGATCTCAATGTACTAGTTCAAACATTGTTCCCACCAGCTGGCAGAGCTGCACCATATGCACGCCCTGTCAAGGCAGCTGTTGTCATGGATACTGGCAAGCGCTGGAAAATAAAATGAGCATCCCTGATTCCTGAGGAAGTGTCACTCTCCATCTGAGTTTTACTCCCCCCCCCCCCCCCACCCCACCCCATTTCTTGCTTCTCCTCCTCCTCGTCCCCTTCTTTTTTCATCAAAAAAGCCAAACACCTGTGAAGTTGTTGTTTTGTGTGCATGTGCCCCCCCCTCCCTCTCTCCACTCCCACTTGATGCTCATGGGCCTGAACAATACAAGGTACATGCTTGTGTGGAGCAGCAGCAGTAGTAGCAGCAGCTGTGCACAATGTTCTTTTCTGCCAGGCTCTTTCATCCATCTGCTCTTGAAGAATTTGAGTGAAGCTGCTAGCCCAGCTGCCGCCGTTACCTGTGAAGCTGGTGCTTGCTCGTCGCACGCATTCAGCGCACACAAGCAGGCGGGGGGTGGGTGTCTGTAATCCCATCAAACCCTAGAGAAATAAATTACGCCATATCCCAGCAGTCTCTCTGATTCCTATCATATCGATGTATGGCAAACACATCAAAGGGTGTTGATGACAAATTTCGCAATTTACAAATAGGATTTTTCTAATTTTTCATGTCATGTGTAAACAGCTGCGAACTAATTTCATCAGGCAGGGAAAGGCCTCTCGTCCTCTACCGATCTATTCATCTTTCTATCTATCACCCATCCGCTGCGCATAAGCACCCTTAATGCATAGTGTAAAACCTGGGCTGCTAGTTAATTCACTCTAAATGTAATCTGATGTTGATTTTGTCAACTTTAATTACAGCTCCCAGGGACACTTCACATGGTGCTGCCTCTACTTCAAATTGATATTATGAATATGCAAATGTGGTAGTAATTTGCAGAGAGAAGTGGGTATTTCAGTTGAGCACACACTAGACAGGTCAATTCTACTCTGCCTTTTTTTTTCTCCTGCCCACCGCCTCACCCTCTTCCCCACCCTCTTCTTCAGGGTTGCTTTAGACAAACTGTATTTATCCTTGCTCACAGCTCTGTGAATTGTTACTAAAACATATCATAGTGTTAACCACGTCACAATGAAAGAGGTGATATTTGACAGGCCTTTCGCTCAGAGATGACTGTTTTCATCTGCGAAAATTTGAATTATCTCTACTGTCAGCTTTAGGAAATCTAATAGTTTATTTTCCTCTGCACCTTTCTTTCTTTCTCTCTCTCTCTCTCTATTTCTTTCTCTTTTTTTAACACTGTCTTTTGTCTTGTGTTTTTTTCTTCCCAGGCTCTACAAGCAGCGAGGCAATTACTCTTGCAGCAGCCAGGCAGTGGCCTGAAATCTCCAAAGAGTCAGGACAAGCAGCGTCCACTGCAGGTAAAGCAGCTCCCTGTCTAATCTCTTAAGTCCATCCATAATACATGCTCCCCCGAAAAGAAGATTTCCTCTGTTGCACAAAGTGTGTTTGATTTGCCAACGCAATCCTTGGGCCCGTCATTGGAATCTTAAAGTCTGGACAAGCGGGTCCCCGGGAAGCTGAAGCGTCACACAGACGCGAGAGAAACACAACAGAGGCAGATCTCAAGGAGCATTGTTTCATCTGTAGGCCATTTGCCTGTTTTCGAGTATGTGATGCATGAAACTGTACAAATACACCACAAGTATATCCCAAGGTTATGTGGTACAATGACAAATTGGCTTTTCTACACTGGATCCATAATGCTGTTGACACAAGAAAATTCAGAGGCTAGTTATTATTTGAAAGCCACGTCAGCCTGGATAATGGGTTACACAGACAGCTAATTTTAACTTCCTCTCATTTCCACTTTTCAACGCTAATTTACCTTATTGATTTGTAGAGCTGTCTATATCTGATGCCAGTGATTTTGAAAAAGGTCACTCTTGTACACAGATGCGCACACACACAAACACACACACGCGTGCGCAGTTTCGCGCTGACGCCACACTCGCACATATATACATTAACAGTCCTTTCAGTCCTCCGTCTTCCTACTCTTAACACTTTTCTCACACCAGCAACTTGTTTCATTCAGTCAACTAGACCGTTTCTGCTTGAAATTATGTAAGGCCCCTTGACATCTGCTCTGTGTTTTTATTAGAGGATTTTTTTTTTTAAATTTAATTTATTTTTAGCCGTTTGAAATTGAAGTGTGGGAGTTTATGCCCTCCACTCGGCTAATAAGTACTATCAAGGAGCAATGGTTTACCTCATTAGGAGCTCTGTGCATTTCATTAATAACAGGGAAATTGGCGTTAACCTCACCCGTTGATATTTTCACAGAGTCTAACAATGGCGACACCTTCAATTGGAGTCACACCCCTGTGTGCCTAATTACGTACTGGCTGAGAGATAAGGTTGGCAAGGACTAAGTCTTCCCTTCCTTGAAATAATTTGACTGGGGCTCATCAAAAGCATTAATATTATCAGTATATTCTCTTGCAGTGGCATGTTTATTTATTCTACTATATATTTCTATATTTAGCTGTGGCAAAGGGGGTTCATCAAGAATAAGCTTATTGTTGGATTTCTCCGTTTGAGTAAATGTATGCCAAACTGAGTAAATTGAAAGAAATGGGAATCTGATCTGCAAATGCCTGCACAGTCACCAAGTACAGTACATAGCATGAAGAACAATATTGAACGAGAGAGTTGTGTGGGTGCATCGTAACCGTCAGCCCACGTCCAAGCCCCTGCCTCTAATAACACCAGCAGATGGTAAATATTGAATATTTACATTTGCTTACTCCATTCTTGACTCGTTGACGATATGAATCAATATGGATCAGAGGGCCCTGCCGATCGGCCTGTCCTCGGCTCCCAGCTAATCTATTTGTTGATCCAGCTTTTATTAACATCCTCACCTCTTTGTTCCAAAAAGTTTCCATTCAGCAGACTGTCACAGGAGAGGCGCTGCTGCCAGCTCACCCAGTGATGCACAAACAGGGCTCAGTGCATTCTGGCCCCAGATTGTTTTCTCTTTTTTTTCTTTTTTCCAGCGGTGGATGTGCTTTTGCTTGAATCCACTCATTTCAAATGACATTTTAACTGTATTACTCCTTTGTGCAAATATCAGTATAAAGCGGTAGAAACTCTTACTTGATTAAAATGCTTTTTTTTTTTTTTGTTTTGCTTTTTTTATTGTCTCTCGTCTCATGCCACATTTTTTTGTGTTCTTGTCTTGAGGGAGTTTACTCAATAAAGCTGCATTATTTACCTGGATTATGAGGCCGCAGTGGGTGCTGCAGCGCAATATTTTATTAGCTTCACTGCTAGATAAGAGTCACTGGCAATCAAGCTACATGTTTTCCACTAGAGGAATCACGCGGATTGATCCCCTTGTATGATTAGCACAGCAGAAAGTGGGAAAAGGATTAATATTACCATGACATCCTGCTTATGGCAGAGATACTGATAAATCCTCTGCTTCTTGTTCTCCATCTTTGGTATTTAAGAGCGAGAAATGATCCATAGATCACGGCATGTAAATTATTTAGTACACAAGCATCTAAGTGCCTCGGCTTGCAGTTTTAATTACTCGTATTAGCGGCTAAAGGCTCTCGCCTGACTAATTCTATCCGCTTGCTTGTCGCTGCTTCTCAGAAGTTGATGATGCGGAGGCAAGCAGCTCTAGCGTTCACATGCACACAAATTCACATGTACGGGTGAAAAAATAAATAATAATAATAATAAAACAGCCCCAAAAACACACACACACAAAAACACACTCACACAAGCTGCTTTTCCACATTTGCGTAATGTGACAGGTCTATTATTACACAGTAAGCCCACGGGAGCACTCAATAAACACCTATTTCTTCCTGTAAATCCCCTGCCTCTGCTTACACGGCTCTCCTAAGGCACACAACACCCTCTCGTCTCTGCTCCTGTCTCCCCTCGCTCTCCTCTTCTCTATGCCAATACCAGCCCCCCCCCCTCTCTGAAAGGCATTTATACACTGACATTTGGAATACAAATAAAGAAACGCGGACAAGGAGAGGCGGAGAGGATTACAGAGGCCTATGAATCTGACAGTTGTTTCGCTCGCACCATGCATCTACGCACAGCCTGCACAAACACAAGCACAGCGACAGTTGCTTAAAGTTTTACATTGCCCGAAATGACTTTGTTCAGAACGTGTTTGTTAGCGGCCCTATTGATCATTATCGATAAGAAACAGAGCAGAGCTCTGTTAGTGTAACACCTGCTGGGTGCAGGTTTTGGCTCACCATCCACCAGACATCTCAAATAAACTCCTCACTCCTATCATGATTGCTTCAGGAGCCACGTGTAAAATAGCCAGAATGACCCCAAACCCTTGCAAGTGACTGTGTTGACCCCACCTCCTGCTACTTAACGTCCAGTTCTAAATCATGCAAAATCTGAGAGCTCGCCCTGAGCAAGTGTTGCAACTGCTGCTGTGTCACCTTTCATGCCATCGAGCTGTGACTACTTTTTCTACAAGACTAATAACCTCAGCTCCATCTGTGCAAAGCTCAGCTATGAATGAAAATATTTAAGGTTTTATGGTTGGTTTATGGATCGGCAGAGATGTTGGTTTAGCCGTGTTTTCTGTAAATTTGCAGCTTCCTGCCCAGGCCAGTCACACCGGCTGCGGGCACTGGGCCATCCTAGGAAGTGTCACACTTTTTAAAGGTCAGGTCCACACATTTCACTACTGAACCAATATCATCTCAATAGCAGCACTCATCTGCTTATTGGCTTTCATCCGGAACACACGCACACACACACAGATGCAGGGAAAAGGGCTGTGACGCCAGGCTTAAGCATAAGTTAGCCAACTCCAGTCTGCGTGGCTAAAGGATGCTACTTCACATTTACATTTATGAATATATCTTTCCTCTGCATCCCCTCTGGTTGGATCTGAAAATAGAGAAAAATTATCACAGAGAAGAAGGGAAAAAAGAGTGTTGGGGGGGTATTATGTTATTCATGAGAAAAACTTCTGTTGACTCTGAGAGAGAAAGAGGGGGGAAAAACGTCAGCACATTTTAAGTCAAACACCCTTGGTTACTGCTTTTGTAACCAGAAAACAAGATTCCCCCCCACCCTCATCTCCCTCCTTCCCTACTTCTTTTTTTTCCTCCCCCTGCATTTACAACACCTACAGGACAAGATTGCTAAATTGCGAGGACAGAGCAGGTTCATCATTGTGATGCAAAAGAAGTTGAAATGCTACCCCAAGGCGAGGTAGCTGAGTTTGGGGGATCAAGAGAAAGTGAGAGGGAGGGATAAAAAAAAAAAAGTAGCTCAGACCTTTGATGTAGCAGCAACAAATTTACCTTGTGACAGAAGATACATGGGTGCAATAAACGAGTTATACCAGCCCTTACACATGCAATCAGATGATTCTGGCCAGGGTGTTAATTGGATCCTAACCGGCAGATCTGATACGCCCGGGCCCTGGTGGTGAGGGGGAAAGCCTTTCCAAGTGATGAACTATAATTCACTGAGCTGCTTGAAGCACTTGTAATTTACTGTGTGTCACTGATGAAGAGGCTGATCCAGTGGAGGCCATATTACCTGCAACATCAGAGGAAAGTAACCCCCCCACCCCCGACACACACACACACACACACACACGCACCCCACATCCACCTGCTCTCACTTGTGCTCTCTCACTTTCTTTCTATTACAGTTCTCTCCTCTCTCTGCACTTTCTTTTATAATTCCCTCCCGCTCGCTCTTTCTGTCGCTCCCATTTACTCTTGAACTGTGTGCACCTGCAGGGAGGCATCAGTCGAGAGTGAATTGTGCCAGTTTAATGATAAAGGTGTGACAATTTGTACTGATAGTGACACAAACAATGTGCACAAAGTCGCACAGCTACACTACATTCAAGACGCTTAATCAGTGACTTTCTTTCCTGTAGAGATAAATCAATATGGAAATTGTGCTAAGCCCGTTCCAATCTCCTTGGGCTTTTTTATTAGAGGCTTTTACATGATGGGTCTTTATGTTATGATAAATTGCACTTCCCATGCACTGCTGCCAAACTGCTATGGAAATTGATTTAGGAAAACATTCAGTAATCTACTTAGCTTCAGTCCTGACAATCTACAGTATTGATCTCCCTAAGCTGAACACACGTCATGCATTTGAGCGTAATCACTCTTATGTATGCGTGTGTTATTTTGCATAGGAAACACAATCAGGCCTCTTGCAAACTTCTCAGTCAGGTGCAAGCCACACCAGCTCGCCCTGTCGCCTTGGTGGTCCTCTGGTGGAGAGTCCCAGCTATCAATAATCGCCCAGCCACATTTGGCAGTAATTGGCTAGTAAATGAGCAGTGTCAACTGAAATGGAGTTGAGAGGTCAGAAGTCCACAAACTACGGTGGAGGTCTGCTCGGCGTTGTGGCCCGTGCCCCCCCTGGGATGCTTAGGAGATTGAGATGAAATAAGGAAATGTAGGGAGGCTACATGTAGAGAGGTTTGTCTCTTTTCTCTCTAGATTTCTTAATCTTTTTTTTTTCTTTTTCATGTGTAAAATGAATCTTGTGGCTTAATTAGCAGTGACTCTCCTGCCAAGGATCCACAATAATTACCGACTAGGACCCTTCCATTTCTCATTGCCTTTATCTCCGCCGTGTCTGAAGCTCCACACAGTTCCCCGTTCAGTACTACAGCAACTTATGTCGTTGATAACAGCCACATGTTCCAACCCCCTCAGTGTTTCTGACTGCCATTTATTCACTGCCCCCCACCCCCTACCCCCCTGCTTGCTTATTAGTGCTAAGTATGATGGAATAAAATCAAATAATAGGAATTCCCTTCTGCTAGACTAATTGTTCGAGCTAGAACTCTGATACATTTTATCTCTGCTTTAGCTCATTTGAGTTTGTTCGTAAAAAAACGTATCTCACAGATAAAGTGCCGCACAGTGGGTGTAATGTCTGGAAGTGTCCATTGGTCAGGATAGACAACCGTGCGAGCCATCTCAGGAAGAGATACCTGAGCTCTCTGTGGATGAGCTTGACCTTTCACAGGGTGTTGGAGAGGCTGGATATAGGGTGCAGGTGTGACAAGTGTGCTGTAATGATCTGCTTGTTCTGGTGAGGGCCCCAGCAACGTTTTCTCATCATCAGCCAATTTAAATGGCTTTTGTTTTACTCTCTACCCTCTCCACCTTCATGTCAGTGTAGCTCCACATGCTTATTAAAACGAGGGGCGGAAATAAATAGCAGCTCAAATGTTTCAAAATATGCAGTTTTTAACTACATTTTTTTTTTCTTACAAATGTCTATAAAGCTGGTGTTACATTCAAATGCCATTTTTAAAACTCATTAGCTTGCTGCTCTCCATCCAAATTTGCACTATTAAAACCAGGAGGCTAACCTTTTCTGTTTTTTAAGGTCCCCAGTGGCGACATCAGCTGCAGCTAATTTCAGACAATTTAATAAATACCATTAATAATTTTTCTCTTTTCCTTTTTTTTTTGGGTGCTGCAGTACTGGAAATGTATCCTTTTGGATTACAGAGAAACAGAGGCACAGACCAATAGGAAAGAGAGTCTATTCACGGTGCACGGATGTTTACGCCACTGCCAGCGTCTTCTAAATGCTCATTAATTTTATCCCTTCGTGGCAAAATCATTTCAAGGAGAAGCAATTCAGCCTCCTGTTCCTTTCAATTCACCGCTCATGTCAATCAAGCCCTCCTGCAGTATCCTGCAGAATGGAGGTGTTATATTCCTGCAATTATCATGTCATATACTCGAAAATGTAAATGAACGTGTGTGTAAAATTAAATTTATGGGTTGTCAGTGAAGAATAAGAACCAGGAGAGCAATTACTTATCTGCTTTCATCTTGGAGCCTCTGATACGTCAAGCAGAAAAGCATGCAGTTAAATGCTGGAATTAGCATTGTGCTGCACTTCACAATAGACGTGGGCCAGTGCCTTTTCTCCCCTTTCTTTCTTCCTTCTGCCTTTTCTCTCTTTTTGGTTCCCCTTCCTTTATTTTATTTTTTTTGTTTTGTTTGGAGCTGTGAAATGAAGATGATTATCACCCATTATGTCTCTAAAAAGTTAATAAAAGCATAAAGAGAGCTTCCTCATCTCATAACTTGGTTGCTTTCTGTTTTTATTGATTTTTTCTGTTTTGTTTAGTTATATTCGTTGCTGCTAAAATCCCTGACTTTGAATGGTTATAGTTTATCAGTTCTAAGCTAAAAACAGTTAGAAATAACATGCAGAAAATATATGCATCTGCATACTTTGTGCTTTTTTTGTAAACTTAAACATCTCTGAGCCAGCACCCAATTAATAGTCTTAATGAGTGCATCTCTCGTGTTGTTTCTCGGCTGCACGCATTCCATTGTAATGGTATCCAACACAAAAACAGGAGTGACTGCGGGGGTAATTACTTACCTTGCAAATATACCTATAAGGGTTAATAGCATTGAAGGTGTAAGCGCAGCATTTGCATAATTACACGTGGACTGTTTAATTTGCAAATTTTTGACGGCTTTTGTTCCGCACCTTGTGCATTTTCTCTTGTACTCTTGCATCGAGGAGTCCAGAGAAGAAAAGAGATGTACCACAACAACATCCTCCTCCTCCTCCTCCTCCATCTCTTCCACCTTAGATGGAGTCCCTTCTCTCTAAGACCCTAATGAACAATGGAGGCAGGATTTGTTTGAATATGAATATGAATGTGCAGCGGGGCCGGCTGGAAGTTGACCTTCAGCTGTGATTTTCAGTTCATCAGGATTAGTCAAGGCGGGCGATCAGGAGCCACTAATGCATAATGACTTCTAAAATGAAAAATGTGTAGTGACCATGCAAATGTCTCGGCTAATCAAAGAGGGGGGAAAACCTGGGGTGGGGGGTAGGCGTTGAGGAGAGGAGAACTAAACAAGGACGTGTCAAGGCCTGACAGAGAGAGAACGAGAGAGAGAGGAAGAGGGAGGGAGGAGAGACGCACATGGAAAGTAATCAAGCCAGCTTGATTAGCTGGCGATGAGGACAGGGACGTCTTATTGGCCCCTTGACACTCCATATAGGCTAGCTACTGTCATGGCACCTCTATGCTAAGCAGTGTCGCAGTTCAGTAAAAGTGTTACTACATGTTGATATTTTAATTATGTTAAGGTCTAAAATGCCTGCCTGTTTACCATTCAGCTCTAGGATGCCACAATTCTTGTTCAAGAAACAACAAACTAATTTGTATCTGCAAATGTTGGAAATGTGCCACTTTAGTCTTCTTATTCAGTAAAAAAGCATTGAGCTGTTGTGTTACTGAACCGAACTGAACACTAAATCATTCACTCATGTTGGCTTCTTTTTTCCATAACTGAGGAGTAAACAAACACACACACAAAAGTCATTCAATATTTAAGCAGCTACAAGGAGCAGAAATTCCACAATATCACTGCAAGCCTACTCTCCCCTGTTAGAACGTGTGCATGCAATCAAAGCCTGAAGAGAAACGTATCATCGCTCTACTGTTCTGCTGCCTCAGAAGTGGCTCGCACTGTCTCCTCAGAAGAAAGTGGCATAAGCAGCGTACGCATCTTGGTTTTGTTTTGGAGATGTTCTTCTACTGCAGCGAGTATTACCTAAAAAGGGCATGCATTTTTCAAAATTACGTAGCCTACTACACCAGCAGCCTTTATGAGAACTTAAGAGTTGCTTTCACACCGTTCCAACAGATTAAAAAAGAATACTTCAGGTACACCCCAAACTCCCATGACATAATGCTGATTGTTCCTGCCATGCGTCCACTTCATCAGCGTAGTTTCAATCAGCTTTAGAGTTGTGCATTTTTTCACGCTGTTTCATAATAGCGGTGCTGATAAAGTGGGGGAGTTCAAGGGTCCTGCTAATTAAGGTCTATGTCTATTTAAATCCTTTACTTTTCCCAGCGGGGTAAAGGAAGGAAAATAAGATGAGCAACACAAAGGCACGGCACCCATCTGTCCTTCAGCATCTCCTCTAGGCTGCAAAGCATCACGGCCATGAGAGGCCTGCTCTCCCTACCTCTCCAACCACCAATTACCACACTTCCAGCAGATCCATGCCACTATGCCTGAAAACTTATTCAGCTCTTCGTTTTCTTTGTTTTTCCCCATCATCGTCCATGTATAGGTTCCAGTGTCAGTGGCCATGATGAGTCCCCAGGTGATGACGCCGCAGCAGATGCAGCAGATCCTCCAGCAGCAGGTGCTTTCCCCCCAGCAGCTCCAGGCTCTGCTCCAGCAGCAGCAGGCTGTAATGCTGCAGCAGGTACACACACTCCAACCTACATGCACCGTATGAACATTGTGACACTCATGCTGTGACATACCCCATCATCACCTAGGCTGGTTTGCCCACATCCATACAGTTACACATTTAAATCCACATAAAAATGTAGTCTGGTGTTTGTACAGGCATACACAAAAATGCACACACAACCCCTCCACATAAGTGTGCCCAGCCACCAGTTACGCCAACTCACCACAGCCCCATGTCCTTGACACGCTTACCAAGGGGAATCGGAAATTGACGTACTCCTGCATGTCACCTCTAATTAACCGTCTCTAGTGTGTCGCTGGTTCAATTCCCTGACAAGCATCCATCAGGGACTGTGAGAGTAGGGCATAGTTGGGCTGTGCAGCAGAAGCTGAACGATAAGTGATGGTGATGTAATATTTGGAATCAACTTGAGAAAGCGCACTCGGCAGAGTTGAAATGCATTTGTCATTCATAGATTTGATTAAGAAAAAGACAATAGTTTAATTAAGAATGTCAGTCATTCTGAGTCTTCTTCATTAAGAGTTCCCCAGCTCGATGTGGTCACATGCTTTCACGCTCTACTGTGCAAGTACAGGGATTTGTCTTAAAATGTGACTCAACATTTTTAGTTTCACATAAGATTTGATAGAAAGCTTGATCATCTGCCATACACATCAGTCACTAAATCAACATCTACCTTCTGTTGTTGATTTACGTATTTAAAAATATTTCTCAATTGATTCTTGCATATAGTCTGTTAAAGCGTGTATATTTCAGTAGCAGTTTGCATAGAACTGGATCAAGCATTCCAGTGGCCTGGCCTGCTTTGGCTTCTCTTTTTAGGCCAAACAGCCACATGGAAAAAAAAATGATATGAAAGTTTAAATAGCGGTTTGACTATGTGTGTTAATAGAATCAGTTTAAAGTACAGAGCTTGATCCTAAGAGAGTTTATTTTGTTTATTTCAACCACTCCAAAGGAAGCCAGTACCTTCTGGCAGCTAAATACATAGTTAATATGATGGATTGTTATCCCTGCAGCACTGTGGGACTATTAACATTCCATAGGAAATAAATTGTGAAAGACTGCAAAGATCTGAGTCTGACACTGAAAAGATATAATAGATCAGCCTCACCAAGTTTGTGTAACAGAAAATTTCAGGGTTTTTTTTTTTAACTTTGCTTTGATAAATACATAAACTCATTTTGGATTTCTACTTTTGCTTGTATTTGCTTGTGTGTTTATGTACAGCAACACCTGCAGGAGTTTTATAAGAAACAACAGGAACAGCTTCATCTGCAACTTCTGCAGCAGCAACACCCTGGCAAGCAGGCTAAAGAGGTAGGTGCACACCCGGGGACATAACATAGTAATTTAGCCTCATGGGGAAAAGATGGTGAATGTGTGCATGTAGATTCTCTATAGATAGTAATAAGCACCATAAAACAGACAGCTTTGTTGTTCTAGAAATAAAGTAATTAAGCGGGCTAACCCGGAGGTATAGTGGGGCAAAAAAGTATTTAGTCAGCCACCGATTGTGCAAGTTCCCCCACCTAAAATGATGACAGAGGTCAGTAATTTGCACCAGAGGTACACTTCAACTGTGAGAGACAGAATGTGAAAGAAAAATCCATGAATCCACATGGTAGGATTTGTAAAGAATTTATTCGTAAATCAGGGTGGAAAATAAGTATTTGGTCAATAACAAAAATACAACTCAATACTTTGTAACATAACCTTTGTTGGCAATAACAGAGGTCAAACGTTTACTATAGGTCTTTACCAGGTTTGCACACACAGTAGCTGGTATTTTGGCCCATTCCTCCATGCAGATCTTCTCGAGAGCAGTGATGTTTTGGGGCTGTCGCCGAGCAACACGGACTTTCAACTCCCGCCACAGATTTTCTATGGGGTTGAGGTCTGGAGACTGGCTAGGCCACTCCAGGACTTTCAAATGCTTCTTACGGAGCCACTCCTTTGTTGCCCGGGCGGTGTGTTTTGGATCATTGTCATGTTGGAAGACCCAGCCTCGTTTCATCTTCAAAGTTCTCACTGATGGAAGGAGGTTTTGGCTCAAAATCTCACGATACATGGCCCCATTCATTCTGTCCTTAACACGGATCAGTCGTCCTGTCCCCTTGGCAGAAAAACAGCCCCATAGCATGATGTTTCCACCCCCATGCTTCACAGTAGGTATGGTGTTCTTGGGATGCAACTCAGTATTCTTCGTCCTCCAAACACGACGAGTTGAGTTTCTACCAAAAAGTTCTACTTTGGTTTCATCTGACCACATGACATTCTCCCAATCCTCTGCTGTATCATCCATGTGCTCTCTGGCAAACTTCAGACGGGCCTGGACATGCACTGGCTTCAGCAGCGGAACACGTCTGGCACTGCGGGATTTGATTCCCTGCCGTTGTAGTGTGTTACTGATGGTGACCTTTGTTACTTTGGTCCCAGCTCTCTGCAGGTCATTCACCAGGTCCCCCGTGTGGTTCTGGGATCTTTGCTCACCGTTCTCATGATCATTTTGACCCCACGGGATGAGATCTTGCGTGGAGCCCCAGATCGAGGGAGATTATCAGTGGTCTTGTATGTCTTCCATTTTCTGATGATTGCTCCCACAGTTGATTTTTTCACACCAAGCTGCTTGCCTATTGTAGATTCACTCTTCCCAGTCTGGTGCAGGTCTACAATACTTTTCCTGGTGTCCTTCGAAAGCTCTTTGGTCTTGGCCATGGCGGAGTTTGGAGTCTGACTGTTTGAGGCTGTGGACAGGTGTCTTTTATACAGATGATGAGTTCAAACAGGTGCCATTCATACAGGTAACGAGTGGGGGACAGAAAAGCTTCTTACAGAAGACGTTACAGGTCTGTGAGAGCCAGAGATTTTCCATGTTTGAGGTGACCAAATACTTATTTTCTACCCTAATTTACCAATAAATTCTTTACAAATCCTACCATGTGGATTCATGGATTTTTCTTTCACATTCTATCTCTCACAGTTGAAGTGTACCTCTGGTGCAAATTACTGACCTCTGTCATCATTTTAAGTGGGGGAACTTGCACAATCGGTGGCTGACTAAATACTTTTTTGCCCCACTGTATAATACTACAATAACCCCACAGCATACACATGCAGTGCTGGCTATTCTCCTCTGATTCCTGCTAGCATTATGCAGTATGGAGATCCAGTTAAAGACAGTTTCATGTCTTGTCTGTATTCACACATGCTCACACAAGTCAAAGGGTGCTGCAGCCACCTCGTCAATGAAGTGTTTCTGCGGGCACACAAACACATGCAGCACCTCTGAAGTTGCAATGTGCATCGCTCATAAATCACAATGACAGGCAGCCGGTCGACAGACATGCCTCTGTCTTGTTCTCTTTGGATATCATGGAGCAGTAGAGGAGCATGACAGCCCCAGCCACATTTGCGTAACAGCGTCGGTCCAGGTCTAGAGCCACGGCCAGGCAATTCTGTGGGAACGGCTAAATTGATTCAAAAATGGGTATCACATAAACACACGCATTCTGTCTTTCTTTTTCATCTCCCTCTCTCTCTCTCCTCAAGCAGCCCATTATGCTGCCCTTACAGGAAGTCACAACTGACCTCCCCGCGGCTTTGTTTCTGTTTGGATTTGTGAATAGAGTTTTTCAGGAGGCTCGCCATCAAATATGGAATAGAAATTGCTCCCTTATTTCTCTTGAGGCAGAGGAGAGGTGTTTGGGGGGGGGGGGCAAACCGCCTCCCGCCACCACCACTCCATTATGCAGCCTGTTTTCCAGTGAGCGCATCACAGGTTTTATCCCCCAAACCCACCCAACCCCTCTCCCTTTCTCAGTCCCTCAGTCTCCATACTTTTCTAGGTACACCATCACTAGCATACAGAAACGTGACAACAGAAACTGGCCTCTGTGGTTAAAGCATTACATATGCACAGCTAACTGGAAATACAGAAAAGTATACCCCATTAAGCCTCAGTGAATGTGCACTTGCAGCCAATCATTACCTGAGATTTTTGCTTCCTAATAGGTGTTTGCAGTACGGCTGTGTTTCAGAGCTCAGAGCCAACTGCTTTTGTCTCTCTCTAAATTCACTCCCTTTCTCAGTTGTTTTGCAGCGGTGGCTGAGTTTGATGTTTTTCATTTTGTTGTTGTTTTTGTTTTTGTCTTTGTTTTTTTCTTCTTTTCTTGCACAAAGCTTACGCAATTGCCTGTCTGGCCCAGCGATAAACAACTCTGTGAGCCAACAAGGAGGGCTGAGAGGGAGTGGAAGGGGGGGTGTAGTGCAGTGGATGTGTGTTTGTGTTTGTGCGTGTTTGTGTCTATGCATTCACATGCAGCTTTAAATCTCTCTCTGCTAGTTCCCTCTGGTCACATAAGCTGTAACAGACCATCAGTGAAGGCGAGACAATTAACTATCAGGGGTGGTGGTGGGGGGGATTATACCAGAGGCTTAGTATCATACACAATCACAAGCCACATACACTGACAGGCTTGAGAGCTGGTATATCAGCATAGCTTTGTTTGTGTGTGTGTATGTGCTCAAAGACATGAACATACACAAAGACAGGAGAAGAAGGTGGTACAGCCCAAAAAAAACAGGAGGAAAGACTAAGTGAGCACAGACAGAGAGGGAGAGAGCGTGTAGAGAAGCAGAAGAAGAAGCAGAGAGGTGTAGCTAAGGTCACAGCAGAGGCGACTGAGTGCACACTCTTCACGCACAAACAGCGCTCCGTCTCCTCTGTCCTCTCCCGCTCACTCAGTTGTTAATTCGTCTGTAATTTTCCCTCCTCTCCTCTCCTCTTCACTCCTCTCTTGCTCCTCTCCTCTTCCTCCTCCTCTCTCTCTCTCTCTCTCTCTCTCTCTCTCTCTCTCTATAGCAACAGCAGCAGCAGCAGCAGCTGGCCGCCCAGCAGCTCGTCTTCCAGCAGCAGCTGCTGCAGATGCAGCAGCTCCAACAGCAGCAGCACCTGCTCAACATGCAGCGGCAGGGCCTGCTCACACTGCCTGGTCCCGCTCCAGGCCAAGCCGCCCTGCCCGGACAAACCCTACCCCCACCAGGTAAGAGGAGGAGGAGAGCGGAGGAGGAGTGGTGGGAAGAAGAGGGAGCAGGGAGGTAGTTGCGTTGATATTAAGCACGTGACTTGCAGCAGTAGTCACATACTTCCTGTATTTTTGTCTACTAGTGCTTTTCACAGTCTGGCTCTGTTTTATTGTTCCTTCCGGCTGTCTAGTGTCTCCAAGCCCATCTGTCCTACTACTCATCTGCCTTTCTGTCCTGTCTGTCTTTTTCTAATTGGTATGCTGCTGTGTCTCTCATACGTTATCTTTAAGTATGTCTGTCTGTCTGCCATCCCTTCATTGGTATGCCCTTCTACCATTCACTTTGTCCTTAACTCCCCTCATGATTGTTTTTAGTCTTCTGTTCTTCCTTTCTCTTCCACTCTTTTCTCATCTGATTATGGCTTTCTCTGTCTTCCTCTGTTCCTCTCTCAGCTGTGCTCTGCCTCTGTTTGTTGTTTTTCCATCTCTGTTTCTATTCCCTCACTCCCCAACTCCCCCTCCTTCTTTCAGAGGTTGTTGTTGTTGTTTTTGTTTACTGCTTTTACTGAGAACAAAGGAGAGGCAAAAGAGAAGAATAAAAAGACAAGCGAGAGAGAACGAGGAGAAGAGAGCAGGCTCCATTTTTGTTTTTTCCCCTCCCGAGCCAAGTAAACACCTATGTTTGTTGTTTACCACCAAAATGGCGCAGACGAAGACAACAGGCAGGAAGATGTTAGGAGGAAATAAAAGGAAACTGCTTAATTCTGTGCCAAGCTGAAAAGCAGCAGTTGACAAAGCTTGTTGTTTTTAGGTGGAACTTGCTCATATTCAGTATAATCAGTCTTTTTTTATGTAGTTTTACTCATTGGACACACACGAGTCGTTGTGCGTCAGAGCTACACAAGTGATTCATAACCAGCTTAAAACCAGTATTTGACTGTGCAGAGAAGACTGTACGTGGCTTCAATAAACAGGAAACTGTGATTTCATATTCGAGTTTGCCCTTGCTGAGAGCAGGGCCTTCAGTCATGCAGCTGTATGGAATTTCTCTGGCTGTTGAATAATCCATACAGAGCTAAGCTTTTGTCCTGTAAACACAGAGTGCAATGCATCCTAAACTGAAAACCACAATGTGCAAGTGAGAGCTAATAAAACAGCTTGGACTCTTTTCCTTTTTTTTGTATTAAGTATTAAGTTGAGCAACTTTATTCATTCAGTATACTTTCTCTGTTCCCTTATCTATTTCTCTCTCTATCTCCTTCTTGATGTCTCTAGCTGGATTGAGCCCCGCAGAGCTCCAGCAGTTGTGGAAGGACGTTACCGGAGGCGGTGGTCACGGAATGGAGGACAACGGCATCAAACACAGCAGCGGCACTGGCACCGGCGTGGGTGGCGGCGGCGGTTTAGACCTGTCCACTAACAACTCTTCTTCAACTACCTCCTCCTCCAATCCCGCCAAAGCATCGCCGCCCATCTCTCACCATTCCATCGCCAACGGACAGTCTCCCGCCCTCAACCACAGGAGAGAGAGGGAAAGGGAAAGAGAACGGGAGCGAGAGAGGTAAACCAACTAAAATGCCATCCGCCACCTTTTTGATGCATCACAGAGGAAGAAGCAAGGGAAGATGAAAAGTTTACAGCACTCGTACTCTTCACACGAGCTTGTTTGTTGCCGTGCCACGATTGAACACATCAAAACAAGGCACTCAACAACAAGCCATCGTTACTTCAGGGAAAGCTGGGCGTTTTGTTTATTTATTCAAAAGTTTATTAGTGTCTTAAGGAAAAAAAATAAGAGCCTTGTTCTCCCGGGGGACCATGCGTTCAGTTGAACACACTTAGCTTGCACACACATATCAAAAGCGGGGAGACGACGCCATGCAGCCAGGCGCACTTACAACAAGCGTCTCTGGCAGAGAAGACAAGGTAACCCCCTTGTACATTAAGTATTTAGTGCTTTCTTTCTTTTTTCTCTTTTGAAAATTACCTTCCATGCTTGCTTGTCATGTAAACAGAATACGTGATGCCTTGAGTGGCGTTTCCAGGATGTTTATCCTTGTGATGCCGTCTTTTATAAATGCATCCAGCACCGAAACACTGACTGTTCACATATCTGCCTATCTGGCCCATGCATTATTCAAAGGCTTTTCTTGGGCGATATTATAATAAGGACTTAGGGTGTAGCGGTGTGTGTGTGTGTGTGTGTGTGTGTCTGTGTAGATGCTCGGTATAGACTCACACTGGAGGTGGAAGTGCTGTGTAATTGGTTTAAAGTAGATGCTATCTCTCCAGTACCACTAAAAGGAGGCTTGAAAAAGATATCTTTAGAAGGAAGACAGAGGGAAAGAGAGAGGAAAGGAATGGATAAGAAGAGAAGGAAGAAAGGAAGGAAAAAAGACTTTATCTGCTTGTGTCCCGAGGGGTGTGTGGTGTCTCATAATGATCGAACAAGGAGTATTGTCAGGGGCACTGCTTACTAACATGCCATGGATCGATGAGGGGAAAGCCCCTCTGTAAAACGCAGCGTGGGCTCTGCCTGCACTAAGACACACAGGCATGAATGCATGTAGCCATCGACCACACACATGCATGCACATGTGTAACCTATATACAGACAAACACACGCTAAGACACAGACTGTACACACTCTCATTCACATTTTCGTACACACACACACACAGACACACTAGCGCCTGGCCTAAAAGGTTAAACTGTCATCTTTAATAGGATGTGCTGTCTAGGAAGGGTCGTAACTTATTTGGGTGCCATTTGAAAAACGCCAGAACACCCCTGCTCCCCTTGTCCTCAAAGAACATAAGTTACACAGAGTATTAATCTCCTGATGAAAATTATATGGCTGTCTGGATTTTTAATGTTTACTTGAAAGCCTCCACCCCTCCTCCCCATAATGGCTTTACAAGATGGGATGGTGACTACAGTGGAGACAAAACTAGATTTCCATCGGGGATGGTAGTCCAGCCTATTTCTCACACATTAGTCTTTGCCATCTTAATATAGTTATCCTGTAGTGATTATTTAAACTGAATGGCTGTTAGCCATCAACATCCCAGTTCCCAAATTTCCTTTTTATAAAGCTGCTGTTATTGCATTCATCCCTTGCTTTCTCTCTGTCTGATTTAGCCCTGGTTATTCATCACATGAATTGCTGAATTAGTGCTCTGACCTCTTTCAGCGTGTCTTTAATCTGCTATTTCCCGTTTCTTGTTTGCTCATTTTTTTGGGCCCGCCTCTAGTTCACTACACGAAGAAAGTGGAGGGACTCACCCCCTGTATGGTCACGGTGTGTGCAAGTGGCCCGGCTGTGAGAACATCTGTGAAGACTTTGGACAGTTTTTGAAGTAAGGACATGCTCTAATACAAATACGTAATACTGGAAATAACATATATTATATATATACTAATATACTGAGTGTAGCAGTAGTTCAGGCAAGCTGAAAAGTCAGTTTTCGCTGCCATCCTCCCTGATCAGTTGATCCTAGTGCCAGCCCAAATCATCTGATGCCACACATCTCAAATAGGGTGTGCTGTTTAAGCATTTTTAGCCTGAATATAGTCGCTGTCCCTCTGCAAGTTGCTTTGCAACCCACATCCCTCGAGGTAGTGCTGTTTCTTGTTCCTGCCTCTTGCTTTCCATGTGTGCGTGTGAGGAAGGGTGGGGAGCTCCCAGAACAGAGCCATAATAACACATAAAAATGACTGAAGATGGAAATAACAATCTCTGAAAGCGATCGCCTTCAGTACAGTGCTTGGTCTTTCTGTGGGGGCCTAACAAAGAAAACATCACTGCTTTTCACAGAGCCCATTTTGACCTTATAGACAGCTAGTTGACAGGGTTTCTCTCTAGTAGTGCAGGATTCAAACCAACTCTGGTCCATAACAAATTTTCCTTCCTGGCGTGGAGGGGCCTGATAGGTTTGTGAAAAAGCGTCAAAAGCTAATGGCAACTCGCACGGCCGCACACTTACCTCCACAACAAAGGCCCCCATTCACTGTTGTCATGGTGCAGGCGCCAGAGCGAATGGACTCTTCATGCTCCATCAACAATTTAGTTAATTAGCTCATTTGTAATTGGCCGGCTTTGTTGCCAGGATGTTAGTGGGGGGACATCAAAGGAAGAAGGTGTTTGCAGCACTGCCGATTACAGGTTATCACATTGCCACTCAGTGAGAGTCTCCCTCTGCCTCTCTCTCTCTCACTCTTTCCCCGGCTCCCTGCTCTCACACAGAGAAGAAAAGAAAGGGGAAAGCTTTAATTTGAATATTCTAATTAGATTTGTAATTAACTGTGAAATAACGATCTGGTGAGTGTTTTTCATGGGCTGTAAATGTCCATGTGAATTCGCACAAACTCTTAAAATCAGGACATTGTTCTGGCTTATTTTCCAAATTATGCATTTTTCTACTGTAGTGGCTGTAAAGTTACAAAAGGCTTTAAAAAAACAGTCATATTTAGGTCAGGCTTTGCTAATTCAATGCCGGCTTGTGAATTAAAGCTAAAAGGTGTATCTGTAAAATGAAATGACACTAATAAACATGGTGTTTACCTGTCTTTCAAAGACAGAGGGAGGCAGTACATTAGACTCCATTTTCACACACTGCCAAGGCATAAAATCACTTAAAGGCCCCATTATTGACGGCAGTGGAGTTCAATGAATCATAGTCTGACAAGTGTGTTTGCTAATCCCCTGTGGAAAATGTGCCGCATACATCTCAATGCCAATACCAGTGCTCTAGAGTGAGCATGGCATAACCATAAGCATCATCTAGTCATGCTTATGAAAAGCCAAATGCATGTGTACAATCCATTGTCCAGCCTGGAATACATGTACGGCAGTCCAGGTAGAACAGTTTGCCTTGCAGCTTGAGAACAGATGTGTGCGTGATAAGGCAAGCCTCTATCGGATTAGCAGATTTTCTGATATCTTGTCCTATCACCTTAGTACACTTACTTATAGAAGACATCAGTCTATTTCTTGGCACTGTATGCTCCTTTCACGCTCAAACACACGTAAGTCTGTGTGCTGTAAGGATACTGTGTCTAGGTGGCTTAGCTGGTTATTTAGGTGAGGGGCATAGATACAGTGTGTGTAAAGCCATGTGCCTGCGAATAAGCTGGTAAGCCAATGCAAAAGGATGCATGGCTGTAAAGACAAACTGAGAGAGCTCCACAGATAGAGGGAAAATGGGTAGATTTCATACTTGAAAGCGAGAGCACAGGTTGGCAGACGGTTTTGTAAGAACACTTGCCAGAACATTGGCTGGTACAAAACAGAAAACACACACACACACACACACACCACTGCAAGTCAGAGGCTGGCTCTATACTGTAACAAAGCCAGAACATGAAAACAGACACCAACCAAAAAAGAAAGACTCGTCATCAGAACAAAGATGGCTGCTCGGTGGCGTGCCTCGGAGCAGTGATTGTAGGTGTCAGAGGGAGTCCTTTCATGTTTCCGGAGATGCCAGTCGACGACACACACAGATGCACTCACACACAAGTGCAGCTTAAACGGGGTTACATAAAGTGGGTGTCAGATGTAGATGACAGTTTAGATGTTGGTACTTGGGTGTAGGTTATGTATGCAGGGAGGTGGGGTGGAAGGGGGAGAGGGGACCCGAGTCAAGCTGGCGTCTCGTAGCTCGCTGTAGGAGCTTGGCTCAGCGGCGGTGACACGTTTAGTCATCTATTGTTTTGTTCCATGAAGAAACTTGTCAAGATCAGCATTTAATAGCTCTTCAGTGCGCTTTTAAGTGTTCTCACCTGGAAAAGGTAGCCGCAAGGTGGCTGGCACCCTGAATTAGCTCTGTGAAGTTCAAAATGAAATAATATTGCTGGGAATGTTTCTCCGAGTGGTGGGTGTTGCTGCTTTGTGGGTGTGTTTGTGTTAGTTACAGAGAAAGAAACATTCATGCTTTTAGGTTGCGTGCCAGGGCTATTTTGGTGGGAGCCTTTTTGGTAAACATAGGAGACAGAAAATGCAATTAATACCTGTAAATGTGGATGTTTTATTTGTATAATTTGTCAGTACAATAAATGCCTCCAGCTTACTGCAGATTTTTATAGCGCTTTAAAAAAACAAAGCTTGAACACATCAAATGTGTTCGTCTCCTGTACATGCACGTCTTGTTCCGCCTACTTTGGCTTTTTTCCCCCCTCAGTAATATACCTGCAAATGCATACTTGTTCTCACTCACACACAGTTAACTGTTACACTCTCCGTCACCATTCTGCTCTTCCTATTACTGGCAGGAAGGCAGGCTCCATGTTAAAATGGTGAGCTCAGCTGCTAACCTAGTGTCTGTAACCCGCTACTAATTAAACCCACAAGGCATCAGGCAAGTGTCTTTGTCTCTATATAATGTGCACATACACACACTGTAGAGGCAGGCACCTCAGTCAGGCAGGCCCCCCGGCCCCTTTGGATAGGTAAGCTTGCTTTTACCACTCCACATGTCTGCTGCACCGTGACAAGACCTTTAAAAGGGAGGGCACCGACACCAAGGAGACAGTGTGAGAGAATGTGTGTGTAAATCTGCATGCGGTGGATATCAGGTTTTCTCAATTTGTGTACAGTTATGGAGGCCAACTTTCTGTGCTGAGCCCCTGATAATACACACAGTCAATTAGCAAAAGTGTATCATCCATATATTCTGGACTTGAGCAGATTTATTATCAGGCCCTTAGTGGACACTGATGGCTTATACATATTCATGTACCCAGCTACTGGGAAAAACCTTTGAGATGTTTTGTTCCCCTCTCTTTTAGAGAAAAGAGAAACTGCAGACTCCAATAAAAACGAGTCTTTATGTGAGAGTTAAAAACAGCTGTGTATCACTCCTCCCACAGTCTGTGTTCATCAGTCCCTTTATCTCTTTATTTGCTTTGATTCCGCTACCTTGGCTACATATTTCACTCTGCAACACTGTTCTCTACGCTGCTCTTACATTCCTTTCATCACACGGGTAATCCTCAGAAATCCGTGTTTCTCTAGAATGGCTCATGGACAGTAAGGCTCGTATTCTTTATCTCAAAGTGTGAGTAGTTTTATCTGAATGCTACATTTTAGATCAATTCTCTTATTTGCCCTCAAAATGTACAATTCCATCAGAATGCTTCAATTTGGTTACAAGTGAGGAAGCCAAAGTCAGTTAACAACTCAGGAATAATGAAATAAAATGAGACATAAGATTAATAAAGAGATTTCTGTTTAATCAAAGAAGACAAGAGAAGTTCATAGTTCAGAGAGGACAGAAACACAGTCATCTATTTTTCCACATTTCAGTAAATACAGCGTTCTTTCATTATTTCTTCCTGTCTGCCCATCTGCGTCTGCCCCCGCCCTTCCTTTCTGTCTTTGTGTGGCATTATTAATGCACAGTAGGACATACAGCCATTTGAATATTTCATAAATGCATGTAGTAATCTTCCTGTAATTGTCTTGCTAACTGGCCAGCAGTAGGATGAGCATATGCAGCAAGCTGCAACTGTCTGGAGGACTTCCACAAGGCCTCCAAGCACAAACACATGCAAAATATTAGATAAACAAGCTTCTTGTTGATGAGAGGCAAGCTTAATAAAGATTTCCCCCTTTCTCTTTCTCTCTGTCTTTTTTTTTTTTTTTTGTAAAGCGGTATCTTCAGGGACAGCGAGCAGCCTGCTCTGTGCTTTTGAAGCAGCTGTAATTCATGACACATGCCATACATCAAGTGCATAAGATAGCATTATGGGCAGTGAAATGAAAAGGGTATTTGCAACATTAGTTCCCTCATCCTGCGAGGGACGTGATTAAATGATTAATGAAATGCCCCCTTTTTGCATGCGCATTCTGAAACAGCAATTAGGCACAGGGCTGAGGAAATCCACCAGTTCGTCCCTTCCCTTTCTGCTGCTATCCCTCATCCGTCCCTCTCCGCGCCCCCCCACTTTTTTTTAATGTTGCCTCATTTTTGATTTATAATGGAAAATTTCTGAGCATTAGACCTGAAATGGTTATAAAAGTATAAGCAGGGACAGAATGGAATGGTTTTAAATGTGCACAGGCTAATTGAAAGGTACAGAGCTATTGTGATTACAAATGTTCTATTCAGGTTTTGATTGGCAGGTCGGGAGGAACCAGCTCAGTGAGTTGGCTTGTTTTGCACGTTGCAGATAAACAAGAAGTGAGGCTTTTGGGAGAAAATAAAGGAATACGGGGTTTGTGGGGGGAGGGGGCTTATTTCTGTGTATTTGTGTATCTATTTTTTTTTATATGTGCCAATCAGTGTTTGTGCAAGCTCATGATAATGTAAGCAAGCGTGTGTATTCTTAGATAAAGTGAAAGCCAGCGAGAGAGATTTTGTACTCCCTCTAATGCACTGGAGGCAGAGCTGTAAATGATCATTGAAGGGTCTGCAAGCTAACCTATAATTACTGGAGATAAAGTGGCAGCTCTGGCATTTCATAAGCATGTCTCCTCAAAGCTTGCTTTGTGAGTTTGTCACCAATGATCATTTAGATAGAGGCTCATTACCCAGCATCACAACACTTTAGAAACCCCCGTTTTGCCCCATATTGGTGTTCCTCTGAGTGTGTGTGTGTATATGTGTGTATGTGTGCGTGTGTGTGTGTGTGTCTGCATATGTGCGCTTTACCAAGAATAAAGGTCTATCCTAATGGTGGAGCTTTTGTGTCCTACAGACGAAATCCAATCAAGGCAAAAACCCTCATTGACTGTTATGGCTGTCTGGCTGCCTTTTTTTCTTTTAATGAGGCGAACACACCAGATACATTTAATATGTCTGCTGCTAGATAATGCACCTTCAAGCAAAGAGCCGCTTTTGTGTGTCAAATGTTGCTGGTGTTAAATCGTGAGTATTGTTTTCGGTAAACGAAGGAGACAAAGCTATTCTGCTGGCCCAGCATCTTTTATTCTCTGTAGAAAGCGGCGCTCGGGGTGGCACTGAAGTTAGCCATCTAAACTGGCGCAGGCCTATTGTCATGTTAAACATGGCACCACACACCGTCATGTTACTTCTAATTACCTCATTTCAGAGTGGAACAATGGGCCTGTACGGGATCCTATAGATAATTATCCCAGTATAGAAATATTATCATCTAAATAAAACAGTGCTGAAGTTGATACTGTAATTATCATCCTCTGAAATTTTGATCATGGTGAAAATGAATTTCGCTTGCTGCCTTCTTCGGGCTTGAAATATTGTATGGATTTTAAAGTTGGCTTGTCATCTCTTCTCCTCCACCGCCAGGCACCTAAACAGCGAGCACGCCCTCGACGATCGGAGCACGGCTCAGTGTAGAGTCCAGATGCAGGTCGTACAGCAGCTAGAAATACAGGTACGTTTTCTTTCTGATAATAAAGGATAAAAAACGGGGGGAAGAAGTCTCACATATTGTTTTATTTTACAATACTGAACTTAACTCGTGAATCAGCCGTTCAAAACTTTATGTTCTGAAAGTTGCGTGTGTGAGAGGAAGGCCATATTGTGGTCTGCTTAATACTTCCAGACAAGCAGGACCTGCTGAATTCAACAAAGCCACTAAACAAAGGAATCCTCGGGCCTTACAACCAAAGTCATTATGGCTGTTTTAATTGAATTAAGCGTATGCTTTATTTTCTCTTCCTTTCTTTTTCTTTCCAATTAATAGCAAACGCATCTCTCCTAGTCTGCTGTGTTAATTAACTGCACTTTGCACCTGAAGAAAGCTCAAAAGGAGGGAACTATTTTCAGTAGGTGGAGCGTGACCTTATTAAGAAGTCATGCTGGCTAGATAATGAGAGCGCTGATTGAGCGACATTATTACTCAGCACTGCCAACAAGCGCTGCTTTTCCTTTAGAAACAAATATTTCAAACTGGGTACAAACTCAGTGCCAGCTGAAACAGTCAGTCTGCTAGGTGGTTTCTTTATGGTGGTTCGTTACGACTTGAGCAGTTCTCCCCAGCGAATGAAGGTAGTTTTATTAATCAGCTCCTTTGTGCTAAAAAAAAAAAATAATTGAGGGTACACAGTGTAAATTCTAACCCCCTCAGCCAGTCTGGGCCTGCTTAAACACAAGCATCTCTCCATCCTTTCTGGTTTGATAAATTGTTTTTTTTAAGTAAATAAATTGTGCAAAATAGAAAAAAAAAAGATCCAAGCTGTTTATCAAATATGTATTCATTTTCTGTCCAAGCTACTGAAGCTTGCTCTTTACAGTGTGACCAATTACAGTGATACACTTGTGTTGCCTGTCCTGTCTCTTGTCTTCTTTGTCTTCTCTTTCATTCCTGACTCCCACCATCTCTCCTTCTCTTTTTTTTTTCTTGAGAGCCGTCACTAGTAATGAGGCCCAGCGTCTGTGTATGCGTGCACACCTACTTGCTTGTCTGTTTCTCTCCGTGTTTGATCCGTGTGTGTATGTATTAAGGGCGTGAGAGGGTTCAGGCTTTCACATGGTCCAGTCCCTGTCACTCCTTGTGAATTAGATTGATGATAGGCAATGGCTGGAGCAACTAACTGGACCGGGGAGGCGGGGCCGCCTGGCACCCTGTTTGGAAGACCTCTTCACCTCTCAGCAGCTGCTGGCTGCGCTCCATCCCCCTAACAGTGTCCACAGGACTTTGAGCAGACACTCAGGACCACCTAATTTATGGCCTCGCCAGCTTGTTACTGTCAGAGCCTCTCTGACCTAAATTCTGCTATTGACAAAAAGATGAAATGCTATTTGTTTTGCCTGACCTGTCTGCACCTTCTCCCCCAGCCCCTCGTTTTCTACTTCTTTTACCTTTCGTGCTTTCTTTTTATTCATCTCCTCTTTTTCTTTTCTGTTCTTTTTCTCTCTACCAGACAAGTCTCGTGTCTCACCTTTGTTTATTTTCATTCTTCTGTGTATTCCCTCCTCTAATGTACTCTCTTCTTCTCTTAACAGCTTTCTAAAGAACGTGAGCGTCTTCAGGCGATGATGACCCACTTGCACATGCGGCCCTCAGAACCCAAGTCATCTCCCAAACCAGTGAGTGCATATTGCTCTGGATACTGTAAACAGGCTCGGCCATGAACGCAGAAAATGAACAGTTTAACCGTGCAGCAGTTGTGCGAGTGAGTGACACAAGATGAAAGGAGGGGAGGGGGAGGAATGGGATTTGTAATACAGAGTTACATCTGCTTCTTATCGGTTATTGTGCGCCGCGAGAGGACAATGGAGTTTGGAAGTGTATTAGATGGTGGAGCGGTGGAGTCCTTGGCTAAAACGCAGGGTCATTTCTTTGTGATAGATATAATAGCCAAAACAACCTGTTGGCTGCTGATGACTGTTTGGCTCAGTGGCTTGCAGCGGCACTCAAAAGTGAAATGGGAGAGGAGAAGACGTGTCATTTTAACAACAAACACCTGAAAATTACAGCTGAGTGCTGAAGATGATGTGGTGTTGACATAAATACCCACAGCGAAGCTGAAATTGGTTACAGAAAAAAAAGAAAATCCCAAATTGTAAACGGGGTCACCGAAGGAGGCAAATGATGCCATTCTGGATTTACTTTCTCTCGCCTTTTACTTTTAGATTGAATGAAAATAAATGCATCTCTCCTAACCAGTGTTTGAATTTGATATTAAGATGATACATTTTTGCAAACATTATTTCCTTCCAATTTCAGACGTTTTGAAATATTTGAGAGCAAAACATTGTTAGCGTGTTTCTGCTGCTTAGTAAGTGCCTATTTTCAATAGAATAATTTTCCTCATCACCTCTCATCATAGAATGTAGATAATCACAAGATAGCATAATTATCCCATAATTCCATCAGGAATCAAACTCCCTTTTTATTATTCAATCTCTCTCTGTCTCTCTTCCTCTCCCTCTCTGTAGTTTTTTTTTTTAATCTTCAAAACTCCAGCAGCTTGGTTCCATCTCGTCCAATAAAGAATTTGCAGCCTATAATCCATGCCTGAATATGAATGAATGATGCTAATGAAGTATTGCATTACATAAAGCACACATGAAAGAGCAGCTAATTGCATTTGATGGTGGGGGCAATTCAGACAGAATTCCTAAACGAACAGTTAAGTTCTCAATTTTGAGGATTCCCCATTTTTTTTAAGGGGAGGTAATATGGAGATTTGTTGCAGGGAATAACATGCACAGGCGTGTTTCTGTTGCAAAAGCTAATGGATGGGACAAAAGAGAGCGTGATTGGCCGGTTTCCAATGGCAGCTCGAGTTTGCACCCAGTAGAACTGCAGATGCAAGACAGAAAATCGACCCCACAGTTTGATAAAAATGAGCACTCCACGCTGGCCTATCAGGGCTGAGAGTGAGTCCTATTTTTTCATTAGTGAAGCCCGTGGCTAACTAATACCAGATGAATACAAGACACTGGTTCACTGCCTCCAATATGACCCTATTCTACTTCATTAAATGCTACCTTTTGGCCATGCCGTAGATGGATGCGAGTCAAAGTTAGCATTTCTCTTTCTCCCAACCTTGTGTATTCAAAAGGTAACAAAGTGCTCACTTCTTCTGTTTGGCTGTAATCACTTCCACTTTGTAAAAATGGAACTCTACGCCACTAAGGCTCGAAGGCAAGGAGTCTGCAATGTTTATGTTTTAACATTATAAATATACAATACATCCCAATATTCATATACAAGGGCATTTATTTAGAATCTAGTTTGCATGTTTAGTGCACTTTTTCTGTCATACAGAACGTGAGTGTTTATCAGATACCCTGTTTAAAAAAAAATACATCAAGTTTTTCACAATTCAGAGTCTAGTAAGCACGTATGTAACAGGATGCACGGAGAAAACAACATGAAACATTTCAAATCACACACAAATTTGCACATTGCATACTTTGATGACGGCATAGCTGGCAAGGAAATGAATTGCTATTTTTATTGAAGGCGTCAGTTGTGTGTTTGTGCAGTGTGAGTCTGTCAAAAAAAATAGTAAAACAGTGCTTAACAGTGAAAGACACAACAGGGAGCACTTGGAGTGTAATTAATGGTTTGTGTTCAGATAAAGTGATGTTTAAAACATTACCTGGTACACGCTTTAAAAAAAAGTAGATAATATTAGGAGTAGCTGTACACACTTGATCCGATCTATTAAAACAGGTTAATATGTACATTATTTCCATAACCTCTAAAGTTTCTTTCTCATTCCCCGTACTCATCCCTTGTCCCAGCCCATCACTACAGCAGCTCATTATAGCTAAGTGGGGATATAATTATCATGTGAAAACCACTACATCCACCGGAGTGTCTCAAACTTGACATTTTATCGTATTTATCAACACATGCCACAAATGACCGCCGGTACCTTCTCCTCAGCCTCGCTCCTCCATCTCTCAGTGCCTTCGGCGCCCTCATTCCCTTCCATCTTTCAAGTCACTTTTAATTCAAACTCTCGCAATGGATGCATTCCACTTGTAGATTCACAATTAAGGCAATTTGGTTTGAATATGTAACGATGTCATTACCATTCCGACTAAATTAGAGCAGAGACTAAAAGGTCAGTTAGGAATTTTCCAGTCGGTTAGAGCCTCTCACATGAGATTTGGGAAGGAAATGCAAAAGTGGTGGAAAAGCTGGACGATTAGCAAGCAGAGCTGGCAGCAGAGCCAGAGGTAAGCAGCGCTCTCCTCGCCTCTAATGTCAAAGGAGGGAAGGAGAGAAAGACGCCAAGTGCACATGTGTGTGGAGTGGCTGTCACTGTCCGTGTAAATTCATTTAAGTGTCTTTTGTATGCTCACGCAAAGAAAGAACTCAAACTCCCACTTCCTATACTTCCTCATGCACTGAAAGTCACACTGAATTAAGGACAAATAATCTATTACATTTGTAATCTTTCCTGGAGGAATATTAGCTTTCAGTTGTGTTGTTGGGTTGAATTTCTGTGATTGACTGTCCACCTACAGAGCAGTTTAGATTAGACTAAAACTCAGGCTAGGCTTTTTTGTAGGGGGAAAAATACTTGCTTTATGATTCTTCATTAGGAATCTACACTGGCACACACTGAGTCATATACCTCTGTCACACTCAAGGCACACTGATAGTATCTCAAGCCTGGCCATGAAGAAAGTTTTATTGTGTAGCGACTACTTTGTTACAGTACTGTTACTGTTTTTGTTTCAGACGCCATTCCTGAATTCTTCTCACTAACAAATTGCAGATCAGTTCAAACTAAACATAATGTAATTAGTTACTGTAGCAGTTGCTTAATGACATATGCACCACCCAGTGTTGAGATTTACAAATGCAGACAGTTTTAGTTAAAAGCAACATAATTAGTTGCAGTTTGACCCTGTGCATGGCATACTTTGTCCACGGAGTTGCTTTGATTTGCTAATAGTGTCTTCATTTAAATATATAGAATCTGAAAGTGACAGGAGAGATTTTTTTTGCACTAGAACCTTTTTGGTTACATTATTTTGGTTAGTCTAGTATTGACAAATCAGAGTTGAGTATGAAACAGTCCCATTAAACACAAAAAGTGAGAAGTAGTTGGTAGAATACAATTACAAAATCACTGGATACAGTTTGACCAAAATGTATTTTTAAAACATATTTGGGCCTGTCGATCAGATAGTAGAGTTTGCAACCTGTACACAAAGGCTGAGAACTTCAACCCATCTTCTCCCTACTTTCCGATCACCCCGTCAACTAAAACTATCCAGGAAATAAATAATTTAGCCTTCCCCTTTTGTGACATATCTCAAATCTGTTGTAAGAAAAGTTGTGGTTAGGGACTAGGGTCAGACAGCCCATGTTCGCGAAAGCACTCCAACAGTGTAGAAAAAGAGTTTTGATATGCTCATTTCCTCAGTGCATAAGAATTATGGGTGGCTGCAGTGGGGTAAATGGAAAGGGAGGAAGGAAATGAGAGAGGGAGGGTGTGATAAATAGAGAGATAAAGAGAGATGGGGCCAGGATAACACGGAGGCTGATCGTTGGATAATCTTGAACAGCGTGCTCTAATTAGAATTCTTATGATACAATTTGGTGGTTGTAATTAGTGGAGATGGGCTGGCTCCTCTCCACGAGCCTTGTTAGTGGAAACACAGCTGTGTTAGAGAGGAGGAGAGCAGACACTCTGCTCTGTCAGAGAAACCACAAAATAATGCCTTCCTCCTCCTTCCCCCTTCCCCCCCTCTCCCAAGTTGTTTCTATCTCTTTCACGCTCTCCACCAATCACATTCTGTCTTCCTCCCATCGCAGCTCAACTTGGTGTCCAGCGTCACCATGTCCAAGAACCTGCCCTCGGCGTCACCCCCCAACTTACCTCAGACACCGACCACGCCCACAGCACCTATCACACCCATGGCTGCAATGCCCCACGTGCCATCGGTGCTGGGAGGAGCAAACGTCCCCAGCATGGGAGCCATGCGCAGACGCCACTCGGACAAATATTCCATGTCTTTGTCGTCAGGTAGGACCAACTACTCAGCGCAGCACCTAACACAGATATCAAAATACTTCCAGTTACTGAAAAATTCAATTCCTGATTGAATTTAACATGAAGTGGCTTATTCTCATTTTTATATATTTTATATATTAGTTATTTGACATAAACTAGAATGCCACTTATCTAGTTTAGGATACGTTTCTGTTTTTATCTAATGAAAAAATTATGTTCAATACCTGGAGCTCTGGACTATTAATAGTAATTTCAACTAATCATATTCTAGCAGTTTAGCACACACACAGACATGAAAGTGAACACACACACACACACACACAACTGACATAAACGCATACCCACAAACCGCAGAGGCTTGTTGGTCTTACCAGTGTGAGCTGTCTGGTGGTGGGTTTATAAAAGCAAGCGTGTGTTTAATCACTCTATATGTAAATAGACAAGAACTTCCTCTGTGCATAAATATTACATGAATGTTAATTAAGTTCAAATAATGGTGGGAAAAAAAATACAATATTTATTACATTAAGACATTCAATGTGTTAAGCTTTGCATTTTAAACGGGACGTCTTTTGATGTTTATATTTACTCTCTGTGTTTAGTGTGGAGCAACATAAATTATTCAACTTGAGCCTAACTAACTACACGGATTTCATTTTATGGGATGTATTAGTGTTTAAGATCTCTCACGAGAGAGATTAATTAAAAATGCATTTTGTTAGACATGGAAAATGTTGATTTGATGTGCCCCCTTTCTCTGTCAACCCCCCTCCATCCCCATCTCCACCCCAATCCTTACCCCACCCCATTTTAATTTGATGTAACCTTGAGTAAATTCAATACCTAAAGGAATAAAATGTGCCAATTATTTCAGGTGGTGACACAGTATTTATTTTTCCAGAGATTGCCCCAAACTATGAGTTTTATAAGAACGCAGATGTCAGACCGCCATTTACTTATGCAACCCTCATAAGACAGGTGAGTGGGAAATAAATTAACTTTGCCTGATTAGATTAAAATTAATTGCTGCATGAATCGTGCAGCTCTGCCTCTCTCCTCTCTGTCTGTTGTTGTATGCGTGTCAGTTACCTGGTCTCGTTAGTCAACCGTTATTTGATGTCATCTCATTTCAGGCTATCATGGACTCTGCTGACATGCAGTTAACACTTAATGAAATCTACAGCTGGTTCACGCGCACGTTCGCTTACTTCAGACGCAATGCTGCAACTTGGAAGGTAACCTTCATGAACACCCCTCTTCACCCTCCCGTGCACTTTCACTCCCATCACAGCAAAGCCTGCTCCTTCCTCCTGCTCAAGTCAAACACAAAACCTTAAGAAAGCATATATTTGCTCAGCACAGAGCGATTAGCACTCCTCTCCCCTTTCCTTCCAACCTCTGTCTTGAATGGAGCCCTTTTCTTCTTATTATTTATTTTTCCACCGTTCTGCCTTTTCTGTTTAGAAATGACAGGCGAAAGAATTATTCTCCCCTCAGATATCGTTTTCTAATTCGGTGCAATTAATAGCGGAGGCTTGGCGTGGAGAGGAGAGGGCTCTGACGCACTAATTATACAGCAGCCACTCCATCATCAGCACCTTTTGTTAAGAGATACACCCCTCCTCCTAGTCCCGAAAACCACCTTCTCTCGCATATCATTGGTTAATTAGGAAGAAAGATGGCTGTTTGCCTGTTAACCAGTTCTCCACTGTGTGGAGGCCAAAGATGCATGCACACAGGAACTCAATGTACACGTGAGCACATACATTGTGCCTGTGAGAGGGGTTAAGAGTGTGGAACTAAAGCAAGGGGGGCAAAGTGAGAACTGGCCTGTCATGGAGGGAGCACTCTTTATTTACCCACACAAAAGGGCCCATTTGTATATCTGTCCCTACAACTTTATTGTCCTGTCTCCCCAACACAAAGATGGTGAAAGATATTTTTCCTGCAGCACATGTTTTAAGCAGAAGTGTGCCTGTCTGCTGATAAAGAAAGCCCAATTTAAGCACCACTGTCTTCATTGCTTTCTTTTTTTGTTATTTATCCTTGGCCCCTGTATGTCATTTGTTAGCTCCCTTTAGCCTTTGTGGCTGCACAGAGGACTGGAGGGAAAACTCAACGAGCCGCTCATCAGCATGCGAGGCGCGTCGCAGCACTAGATTTAGCAAAGTGAATTAATTTGGATTTGGGATGCAAATGAGCACATGGGTGTGTGATCACCAATACAAGAGGACACGTAGTAAGATGGGTGCCCTTTTCCAGTTTGTACAGCGCGCTCCGTGTTTTGCTGCGTAGTGATGTTACGATATGTTCTCACTGGCACCAAACAACACCGCTGCCACCAACATCACCACCGCCACCAGCATCTGAACGGTTTCAAATCTTTCCTGCTCCTTTTTTAGAAAAACATCCTAATCTGCCCCACCCTGCACAAAAGCCAGTGCGATCTATTTACATCTACAGCCTTGCGCTTCCCTTTGTAAGCATTAGGGGGATGATCAGCGATCGGCCTGTCATTTGATTAATGAAGAGAATTTGTTTTTTTTTAAAAAGGGGGAAGAAGAAAGGAGAGAAATGAAAGGTAGTTTAATATCTCAGCTTGGTCTCATAAGCTCAAAAGAGGGATCTGCACCCCACACCCCACTTTTCCTTTCTCTCTCTTTTCTCTCACCCAGAAGCTTATTAGTTCTAACTATATAGCATGCATAATAAAACTGCTCATTTGCTCATTAATATTAAAATTATCATATTCAGAGCCATGGGCATTAAGATCAATCAAATCCTGGGATTTTCAGGTCAGATGCGAGATCTGCTTATGAGGTTTTTTTCTTTCTTTTTTTTCTGAATCCCTTTTTCTTGAGCAGTACACACCAAGCTAAGGGAGATGATAAATATGAGAGGCAGGGATATTAAAGCCAAGGTTATTATTTGTAGAGTCTGATGCATGTTTTAATTATGGACGTATTGTCATATTAATAAAAGAGTGCTTCTTTCTCTAGCTATTTCTTATTTAGTAATTAATGAAAACACCTTATTGTTTTCTTTTAATTTAACAGCAGCTTTGATAATAATATCGAAAAGATGATCGTGTCATTTTACCAGAGTATTTAGACATATAGAAGTCAGTTCAGCTTAATGCCCTGACTTCTGCAGGAACACGCTGTCTCTAACACACACAAACACAGGGGGCTCCTGACGACTTTTTTTTTCTCCCCCTTCCAGTACTGTCATCTTTTAAGCGATGTGTCCATTAAGAACAATGCTTTTCTGGAGCAGGAAGGGTTACTGACATCACATTATCAAGGCCGGCATTACCACTTCTGTCACCACCATAAGCCATTCGCTATGCTGATTACCTCCTTTTAGCCTACTTACTCTGATTGATATGTACTGTGTGCAGGACTTGTAAGAGCATTCGCTCTCACTCAATTTTTTACTAATTAAATCAATGGTGCGTGAATGTTAAGAATTTCTTCAAAATGCAGGGGAAAAAAATCAATTTTGAAGCCTTCCTCGTCTTCATTTTTTTTCTTGATGGATAATGAATGAACATGACTCGCTTTTTTTTTTTTTACCTCATCCCTCTGACCTGTGCGTTATTTCTCTCTGCCTCCAGAATGCTGTCCGCCACAACCTCAGTCTGCACAAGTGCTTTGTGCGCGTGGAGAATGTGAAGGGGGCAGTGTGGACAGTAGATGAGGTGGAGTACCAGAAACGCAGGTCGCAGAAGATCACGGGGTAGGTGCTCTGCTGACTCATAGATCCAGATCAGTAAAAGATTAAAAGGATCAGTGGAAACGTTGTTAAATACACTCTGCACTCTCTTATTAGCATTACATTACACATTATGTTATGAACTGATTGACTCATTTGTTGTTGTTTGTTTTGCTTACTTTTTTGTATGCAGAAGCCCATCACTTGTCAAGAATCTGCCCTCCAGTCTTGGCTATGGAACTGCACTAAATGCCAGCTTACAGGTACAGACCAAAACCTTGAGCTGGCTGCCGGTGTTACTTGATTGACAGACAGGACCACTGCCTGAGTGACTGAATGATTACAGTTAATGTGCACAATAGAACTCCGTATTCATACTTCCACTTTGCATATGAGGGAGCAAGTTTTTTTTTTCTTTTTCTAGCTTGAATTACCACCTTGTTCCTTGCTTGTGAATTTCTGCACCTCTCCACTCACTCTGCTCTCTTCCAGTCTGCCATCAGACAGAGAAGGCCACCCTGTGGTTGAATCAAGGAGCAACTCTCGCTCCTTGATTCCCTTCTTTTTCCCTTCTTTCAGCAGTGGCAGCCACCCTAGATTGATAGCGGCATGTGCAAATGCAAGGGCATGTGCATTAATATTTATCTAACCTGTCATAAATGATTTGCCTTCATAGTGTACGCTGGCGAGGTGCTCATGGCAAAAACTTTAAAAATTTAATCACCGTATATAACTTTAATGCTCAGCAGGCGAAAGTGTCAAGAGTTTTTATTATTTGGAGGTAAAGTTTTGGGGGGACTTTTTTTTTTTAATAGCCACACCACACAAGGGCACAGGAATGGCAGGTGAGGGGAAGTAGTTGTCAGGAAAGTGTCACATGGGGAAAAATAGTTTCCAGCTGAACAACACTGAGCCACGGTCTTTAAATAATTACTGTGTTAAATCATAATATTCACTCTTCATACTGCCTCTAAACCACCAAAACAAGTGTGTGACAGTAAATGATTACTCCCTCTTATGCACCCAGTTATTCAGTGTTCCTGGACCTGTCTCTGTCTATTCAAGTTCTAATTCCTAATATTCCCTACTTGTCTCTTCCTCCCACAGGCTGCCCTAGCAGAGACCTCCTTGCCTTTGCTGGGAACCCCGGGGCTCATGGGCAGTGGTGCCACAGGCCCGATGGGAGGCACCTGCCACGGCCTCCTCGGCGGAGACCCGTCCGGACTGACCGCAGGAAGTCCGCCTGGCCAGTTGGGAGGGAGCCCACCGGGGTTGCTGGGTGTTAGTCCCCCAGTTACGCTGAGCGGCAGCCCCCCCATGCTGCTGCAGTCAGCCCACGAGGACCTCAACGGTTCAGTCGACCACCTGGACACCAACGGACACAGCAGCCCCAGATACTCCCCTCCAGTACACATGTAAGCTCCTGCACATAGAAGAAAATATACCTGCAAGTAATTTAACTCTTGGGGCTACTTAGACCTCTAAGAACTCAAATTTGTGCACATCATCTGCACTTTTCTCAGATTAAACACTGATCTTAAGACATTGTCAAAGATTCTTTTTAGAAAACCTAAAAGCTTTTTGAAACACAAACCACAATTCACCCCCAGTCGATCTCATTAAAAGCTGCCGGTGCTTATACTGCCCTTTACTCAGCCCATAACAGCTGCTGTGTGGATTTAAATGACAACCATTACAGCATACCTATGATGTTGCAGCATGCACACGATGGATCAGAGTTCCTATTTCATGCTTCATAATGTTAAATGTGGTGGGTATGCACTAATTTACACCTCACACATTTTTAAGAGTGCTTATCTAAGTATGCAAGCACACATTGACCCCTCCCCTTTGTACGCCTATGTTGAATTCCTTTGTTAGTTTAATTGCCTGACATTTAACCCTCTGTATCAGTATTTATTTCAGTTTTCTCTGACCCAAGGGCAGGGTTCAATTTCCAGTACGTACGATATCATAAGCAGACTTTTTCTCATCCTTTATCTTCTGCTGTAATTTGATTGTCTTTGTGCTTATACCTGAGGTGAGGCGGACGCTTGGCCAACAGTTAGTCTATAAATAGGCTCTATTACACATTTGTCTTTAATTACACCACCGTCTGCATTATAGGGGTTTAGCTGCTGTATTTTATGCAAGACTGTGCCTATTAATATTTAGCAAGTGTAGCATTAATTACTTTAAAAATCTCTCCCTTCCTCATCCCTCATTTAACGTGGCTAAGAGAAAGCGAGTGTGAGAGAGAGTGAGAGTGATTTTAAAAATTGATTTCATGTGACTTTTAGGAATGTCTGGGCTGCTGATGTCACAAAGAACTATCTGCGTAAGCACTCGCTGTGGAAAAATGAAGCACACACGGAAACAAACACAAAGAAATGATTCTTATATGATTCTCGTCCACTCTCCTTCAAAGACCATGTTGGAAACCTATCAGCTAGTCACTTCTTTAATGGATAAAAGATGCACTTCTGCTTCATGTGACTAAGTGTATCAGAGAGAACAGAGGAGTGTTTGGTTAGTCCTTAGTACCAGACATCTATACATTAATCTGTTTGGACATGTTTACCCCTCTCTGAAAGGGGGTAATAAGTGGAGCAAATCTGCCCAGCTCCAGACAGAATCCAGTGTTACCACTCCCTCGGCTCATTTAATTTTTAGTAACAGGACAGCACTTCCTTTTTCTTGCATTCTCTTTTCTCCGGCCGCACTAGCCTTGACACTTGCAAGGGTAGCTAGATTAGAAGATTAGACGCATCCATCCATCCTTCTCTTCCTCCCTCGGTCCCCGCCCGCCTTTACAAAGCCACAACAACCTCAAAATGGAAGAAATGTGTTTTTCATGAATGGCTTTTCAAAGATGTGTTTAAATAATAGAGTGGCTTGTAGCACTAAACTAAATAGTACATCACCTTGAAGGCCTTTCTCTGGAGAGGAGTCCTCAGCACAAGCAAGTCCATACAAACCTCTTCTTCTCCTAAATGTCCGAAGGTTAATGATATCTACTTAACTGCAAAGCAGGCTGCCCCGGGCCATCCCGGGTTTGTGCATACTGGTGTGAGCGTGTGCACGTCATGTGGTTTTGGTTCTGAATACTTATGCAGAAGTGCCACGCTGTCTAAAAACTTTATTGTATTGATTATTTCATTTCGTAAAACATGTTTTAGGTTGGAGCCGCGTAATCCGTGTCCACGTTGAGTGAGTTAGATATTTAATTGCACCAATCTTGATAACAGGATTAAAGACTGTAAACACATCTTTTTTCAATTTAAATGTCTAAATGAATGACTGGTTTTAGGTGAAACCAAGTCTATTGTTTATATTTCCACTGAAACCTTTGGCTTTGTTCAGTGTAGCCACAGGCTAAAAAGTAGTAGTGTCCTTAACACCAGTCCAAACATCTGCAAACCTCCTCGCAACAAGCCCTGAGTGATGTAGTTATTGTTCACTCAACTGATTCTGAGATGAGAGCCAATAAACGTGTCATCACACTGAGGCCCAACTCTCTTTGGTGTCTGAAATTTTGCAAACTTTTATTGGCCCTCCTTCACTACCAACCCTCCCTCCCTTCCCCAGGCTGCCTGCACTCCTCTCATACTCTATCTTCCTCACCGCACTACTTCTCCTGCTCCCCCATCGCAGCCTACCATTAGATCCATGCACTAATGATCGCATTTGTCCCGACATACCTCTGCATGATTGCAGGTGCTAATCTCCAATTGATGTGAGAGCCAGGCATCTCTAGAACCCACACACACATACACACACTCGAAGCACTGCGTATTTATTACATCGCAAAAGTCCTGCTGAGTGACTCAATAATGGCAGCTAGCTATTAAGTACTAAATGGCTCATCCACATATTTTAATAAAGTGTCACAAAGCCTGTGAACGTTATCGTCAGAGCCACACAAACATCTAATGAGGTGCATGAGAACACATTCCAGTCTGCCAGGTGATCCACGTGATGCATTCAAGTACAGACTCATTGTCATTTTCGGGAAATGGTGTTTAAAAAAACACCATTTCTTCTTTATGAAACACTTTTTATTGTGCTCGACAAAACTAGGGATGCATCACTTCACTCGCTGTGGGCACCAGCTGAACAATGATTTGTATCTGGTGCTAGTATACAAATATAAAGTACTGATCAGCATCAGTGGACATATTAAATGTTTACAGCATGGCGTTTATGAACAGCTATAACTAATGAGTGAAAGGTGGGGTACAGCCTCACATAGTGACCTAAACATCCCTTTATACAGCCACATTTTAGTGTCTCAGAAAGTGTTTTTGTCCAAGCACTCATGTAGAACATAAAATATTTCAGCAACAAATTTGTAACTTTCTGGCAATCAGCCCATCATTTTATCACCTTTCAACACCAGTTTTACTCTCCATCGGCAACATAAATAAATAACTTAATTTTAAAAAAATCTGTCTCTCCATGCTGTTAGCTGTTACATCGGCAGGTAAGAGGACGTGGAGGTGTTGTTGTCTTATCTCCCACCTTCTGTAAACCTGAGGCACAGAAACAGAAAGGTTCATCCGCTCCTGTTCGCATCCTGCTAAGATCAGCCTCCCTTTCTCATCCCACCACATCAGAATATTAATTTACAGTATTTGGCTCTGAATATTAAAGTCATCTGTACCTTTTAAAATTCTTTTCAAATTCAAAGTCCCCCCTGCCCTCCCCGCTTCCACTGATGAAGGCAACCCAGGAGAGAGGCTTCCTAACATACTACCACTTGATAAGTCTCCCTCTCTCTCTCTCCCCGCTCTCCTCTTTCAGAGTCTAGGGGGATTTTCTGATGCATCCGATGTGTCAAAAATAATTAGCTTTTGTCAGATTTATCATCATGGCACAAACCCCTCTCCCTGACTAGAGCCCCAGATCGTGTTATGCCTTGTTTGTGTGTGACAGCATTATTATTCTTGTTAGTGGCCCGACACTTCTTTTTTTCCCCCGCCCACTCCTCTGTTGTTCTGAAACATAAGGCGTCCTGTGAGCAGCGCCATTGCTGCTTCCTGCCCAGTGCTTATTGACACTGGCTAAAGATATTCATCCATTTAGAGTTAAAAACATGTATCATGGTGTCCGAGCGAACTGCCGGGGCTGAAGTTGATTAATGGCAGAACCTAGCTGCCGGTTTTTCCTCTTGAGGAGCGACACGCACAGCCCCTGCATATTAACGAGTGGCTGCGCTTTCTATTAACTAGATAAAAAAGCCTCTCCTCTGCCTTTGCTCCAGGGGGCTCAGGGATGAGAAATTCTCCATTATTTATTATGTGGCCGGTTTTTTCCCCCCCTTTTTTTCCTTTTTCATGTATTTCAACCTGGTGTCATCAGTAAACTTTTAAATGCCAAACATGTCTGGAACATCACAGCTTATCGGCCTTACAGAGGCCATGTTTTTCATGCAATTTTCATGCGCTTACTTACAGTAGACGTGAGGCATCATGTCGAATTAGTGTCTCGCAAACAACATGTTACTTTCTAGATAATGCATGTAACGCCTGTTTTTTTGATGCCACTGAATATTTGTCTGTTAGCTGAACACAGTCCATGCAGTAACGGGAATTACTCCTCCACACCTCTTTTGCACATTGCGTTATGGTGGTAATAAGTCACCTGACTATGTTCCCTTCATAATTTACTTGTAAATGAGGTTTCCCTTACTTTAAATGTTATACTTTACAGTTTACCATAAAATCATGTGTATTTTTCCTCTGGCCTGTATTGCTATTTATCCATTGTTTTGGTATCAGTTGGCCAGTTGTGGAGATTCTGATGCAGAGGTGTCTGCATTCGTTGAAAAGTAGAGAAACTAAATGGCCCACAAGCCTCTATCTGCTTTTTCCCTAAAACATGTGATTTCGTTTCATTACATTCAACAGATGCAAACGCAACCATCCTGATGGATAAATAGCACTGCATGCCTGAGAAAACTTGTCATTTTCTGATGAACTGTCCCTTTAAATGTGATCGTGCTGCAGGGATTTGTCATTGAATTAAAGAATAAATCTAACATTTATCATTTATCGCCTATGTGCTTGCGTCATAGGCCACCCATTCACATAAAGGAGGAGCCACTTAATATGGACGACGACGACTGTCCGATGTCACTTGTGACGACAGCCAATCACAGTCCAGAGCTGGAGGAGGACCGGGAGCTGGAGGAAGGGAACTTATCGGAAGATCTGGAGTGACTAGGATACAGTTTTTGGTCAACATATCCCTTCACCGAACCGCACTGTTTCTCTCACACAGACCTCCCGCAAGACTAGAAACCACTCCACAGTCCAAGCAACCACAGCTGACTCTCTTTGTCTCTCTCACCACTGGGACTATTTATTGAGCATGTATCCGGATAGAGACTGGGCCAAAGGAACTCTTTGTTGCAGCCCTTTGGGATCCCCCAAACACAAGCAGGCATAAGATGTCTGATTGGGAAAAAAATTGAACTCTTTGAGACCTGTTTCATTAGGGGATGGCGTGGCCACATACCGTGTAAGGATGATAGACTCATGGATGGGGAACACCATGTTCCGTTGAAAGCTAGCGGCCTCATATACTGCCAAAAAGGAAGACATTTTATGTTTGTGAATAATCCAACCCACAGTAGTTGTTAATGTCTAGAGACAATTGCTGGTTCAATTCAAGTTGTTGCTCTGTTATCATTTGCACAGGAGTAGTCTCAGAAATTTGTGTCACTGCCTGTATGTTGCTACTATTATGAAACCCAGTATATTATTTTCAGCTTTCTTTTAAAACCATTGTTAATTTCCCAAATACGATTTCTTTTTAGATACCACCAACTGTAAATGCCATTCCCCAAATCACACCAGAAACGGAACTGCGGTACCAAGACTGTTGTTGCAGCTGTCCATAAAAAAAACACCAAAAACACAAAAAAAAAAAAAAACAAAGGAGAAAAAAAAATAAGAAAAAAGTTGGCTTCCAGTCTGTTATCTGTTTGTGAATAAACAAAAAAAATTTAAATTAAGTTGGGGAAGAAATAAGTTTGTTAAAAAGCGCCATTTCCAAAACAAATGCATTTCTGCATAATTTTCTTCTCACTGTTCTCCTTTTACCTCCTCGTTCGAAAGCTTTGTCTACCTTCAAACAGTCACAGGCAACAGCTAGAAACCAAAGCCAACACTAGCAATGGCCAATAGCTTATAGACAGAAGCCACCAAACTCCTCTTGGTCCGCCTTCTGCCACTTTAAACTAGTACAAAGAGAAGCTTTTGTTCCGCAAACTACCTTGGAATAACCTCTGGGATTGTTTCATTTAGCCCTATACAAAGATGATCATGAGGAAGATGGAGGGAAAATAAAGGCTGGTTTTGATGTGAAATTTGCTAACTCATAGAAAAAAAAGACAAAACAAACAAAAAAAGTCCACTTTGGAGATTTTCTGCCAGACATACCATAGGTAGGAGGTGATGTGATGTTTGAACTGCAGGCATTTTGTGCTGTAACTGGTAGAGAGCAGCTAACTGTAAAAGTGGATCATGACCAAAACATTTGTGTATTCAATGGAAGTGCAGAAACATTGTGTTGTTGTGAATTTTTATTTTATTCTATTTTTTTTTTTTACTTTTTCTTATGCATTACACATAGTTGTTTTTTCTTTATTTATTTTTATTTTTTCTAACCTGGTGAATATGTATTGTTCTAAGTGGGACTGTCAAAATAATGTCTTTATTCCGTGGCTTTTTTTTCTTTCTTCCGAGCCGCGTCAAAACCGAAACTGAAAACATCGCTAACCAAACATGAAGAATATCTAGTGAAGCCAAATAAGTCACATTTTCAAGTGAATATGAAATGATGTGGCTTGGTTACCGTGGAAAAGCAAATAGTAATAGCCATTGCGGAAGAGGATTATCTACCTTTTTCTAGGTGAGATTTGCTTTAACTTCATCAAATCCTCGTCGCGTGGGTCTGTGCAGCTTCCAAACGCGTACGAAAGGCATCGCCACTGATGGCGCTCTGGGTAGACAGCCAGCTTTTTATATCACGCTTTAGGGTGACTTAAAGAGAGGTAGTTACTGTGGAAACTACGTCCCATCATTTCACAGCCAGTGTCATCTAGAAAAGCGTTGTTGCTTTAATGGTCATTTATGTTTTCAGTAAACCAAAGTTACACAAAATTCTGCCTCCTCTTGTATGGGATAAAGAAAACCTGAAACTACACACAGTATAACTACACAAACACACACATGTGTCAGAGACTAGCATACACAGACCTTAGGCTTGTGGTCTGCCAGCTTTCTTGTTTTGGTTAAATCTCCAGCTGCTGAAAACGTATGCTGTCAATGACCTGACGTGGCTTTGTGTCTTGCTGCGGCAGCGAGCAACGTGTCTGCTCTGTTTAGACCAAAATGGAAACACACTGTGCATATGTATGTTTTCAAGTGTTGTGCCAAGCCAAAGAACAGGGCTTGTAAGAGCTTAACACACAAGACACGTGCGGTACTGTACAAACGCTCAGCTTGTAAAGTACACACACATACACACGCGTACCAGTTCCACGTCAAGAGGGTACTGGGCCCTGGAACAAAGCTTATCCCTTCAATACTTAGCTGGAGTCAGCAAAACGACTTGAAGACGACGTTCTTAATAATCTTATCACACCAAATAAAAAGGACGCTGCGTCTTTCCAAAAAAAAAAGAAAAAAAAGGGGTCTCCCACTTACCCAAAAAGGCTTTCTAAAAGCTCCTACCTCTGCACAACAACCAATTCAGAACAATTACGACGGATTGCACGAGTTACGAGAATGCCACAAGAGCCGTTACACTTTACTGCGCTTGTCTCATAGGACGTGGCTCAAGCCCAACGTTTACATTCCCTGCGTCAAGATATGGAAGATTTGCATTGTAATAGGTTGTCCTCAAAACATTTGTAGAATGATAATGTATAGATTATCTGTAAGGGAATATTGTGTTTTTTTTAAAATGCATGTCTAAAAAATCATTTGGTGGACTGGAAACGAGAACTAATAAAAAGAATATAATAAAAACCATGGGGATGATGGCCTAACTGTACGTACAATGCATAGGAGTGCGTTACCTCAGATATACTGTTTTGGGAGGGATAAAAACCTGTCAGCCACAGAATGCATATTACCTGTAGATTTGCATGGGTTTTGTATAAATTAAGTAAAAAAAAAAATGTCTAAAATAGTTGCTTGCACATAATACCAGAAAGACCTCCAGAACTGCGATCTGCTCCTCCACTAGATTTTAGGATTGTCTGGATTTTCTGGGTTGATTTTTGTCTGTATTTTGATAACTGTGCATACTTATGTAAAAAAAAAAATGTTGGTGGACCCATAAATTTACCAGACTTTTTTCTAAGAGGAAAAAAAAATCTCAGTGTTTCTTTTCTGACTTACCTGAATTTTTACTGTTTCTCTCTCATTGCTCGCTAAGAATAGCAAACTTGCTTTTTCTGCATCTGCTTTGCGTAGCTGTAAGGCTTAACCTAATGTGTGTATTTATTGCTTGTACCTCTGTGCATACTTTATGAAGCATTATGTCTGGCAGTTGAGTCATGTATCCTTTCTACTGCTATCCTTCTCTAATAATTGAGAATATGATCCCCCTATGTATACAGTAAATTGGGACTGTAGCAAACATATGTTTATGTAATTGGTGAGAACTTTTCTTTGGTTTGTTTTTGTTTTCATTTCCTTTTTGATCGATCGATCCAGCGACTTTTTTTGATACTTTTCATTAATGTGTACTGTGTCCATACGTTAAAAGTTCTCTGACATTAGAAGGTCATGGTTGAGAATTGTAACAGACATTATTTTCTGTATTCATGGCATTTCACTGCTGAATAAAATAAAGGACCAAAACTTGGAATTTGAAAAGCAACTGTCTACCTCCAGCATCAGAGAGTAAATTATTTTCCCTCCACTGTTGTATCTTTTATTCTACAAAGGCACAGCCATGAAAATCTAGCTGGCATTGCACTTTTAAGGTTTCAGGAGCTGCTACTTCAGAGATGTGAAGGAAGGGGGTGGAAAAACAATTAAAATTTAATGTATGTGTTACAAGCCTTTTTTCCAGCCTCCAGTACCCAGAGTCTTGTTTAGAGGAGCGGGACAAGGCACTGTATTGCCCACCCCTCTGGACCTGTAATGGGTTTAGCCTTTGTATGATTCAAGCCCACTGCTTTCATGTACCGTACGCGTGTCCCAGTCTACACCCAAGCACTGCTGTGTACCTTTGAAAAGCTTTTGTAAGAAGTAACTCACCCAACTAGACTTCATTTCTGGGCTACATACTGCAAAAGTGGTTTTGGCACAAACCGCATTATTAAGTCTGTTGCCATGTAAAAAATATCTGCCTTATTAGCATCATGGCTCTGTGTCATATACAGAAAACAAAGATGTGAAATTTCACCAGACATCTTCCATAATCTCAAAGACAGCAGCTTCCTCTTGACACTTGAAAAGACAAAAAAAAAGCTTTTTACCCTCTCGACTGATGGATGTTGACTGGCCTAACGCAATGACAGGCAATGTGGCTAAATCAACTCCAGCAGGCCTACCACACCTTGTCGGTCATGGAGCAGCCACACACTGACACCCTCATTGAGATTCAAACTGAATCTACCATGACCAATAGGTTGCCCATTAGCTCGTCTGTATGCCGAGAGCCTTCTACACGTTCCAAAGGGTGCTCAGGGACATCGTGGGACTCTTTGAATCATATCCGCTGGTCATTTAATCGTAACGCTGATGCGTGTTCTTTTTCCTTACCACATGATGTCCCATGAGAGGTCAGAAAACAACAGCATTTTTCATAAAAAGGCACACAGACGCACTTGTCTTTCTTCACCCCCCCACCCCCCATGACAGTCCCAGACATCAGCCTTGGCAGGCTGCTGTTATCTCCTCAGCAATGGCGTTCCAGAGCATTAGCTAGCTCGCAAGGCACTTGTCTTCCATGCTGTTTATGCACTTGGAAGTGTTTGTGAATTCAAGTGAGGGATTGCATACGGAGTGCAACAAGGGCCGCTGTGTACTACACAACATCAGAGGGAGCTCCGACATTAAAGTGTGAGAGCGCCTGCTATAGACCCTTCTTTCAAAGGCCATGAAATAATAATGGCTTGTGGTTAGAGAGGTATCCGTGAGTCACAGTGGCTGCTTTTCATAAAGTGGAGTTATTTACAGAGCGATGAATAAAAGAAAGGGTAGCTGGTGGTGCAAGCTTTTTCCACATGAATGGTGGTGGTGGTGGGAGGGGAGTTCCTCCTTATTCAGTACGCTACAAGTATACTGCATGGTGTGATGGGAGTGGGAGAAGGCTCTGAAAATAGCAGCTAATTTCTAAAGAAAGATCTACAAAATACAAAATAATGTTTGGAAGCTTTAAGACATTTAGAGACATGTGCTTCTTTACTTTTGTGTTGACAATTGGAAAAGTTCATAAAATTTCTATGCAGTAAATATAGATCTACAGCAAGAAGGCTTAGCTAAGCTCAGCTTAGCATTAGGACTAAAGGTGGGAAAATATCTAGGTTCACAAAGCAGCAAATTATCTCAAACTAATTGGTCCAAAAACCAAACCTTTGATGACCATTTTCAAGCAAATTAAGTATTGTAGTTATTAATCCTCACTATACCTAATTGTGTCTTCGTGTTCCCCTAGGTAGGCTATGTGATGATGTGTATGTGAATGTGCGCCAGGTCATGGCCAGGGAAACTAATCCTGGCTACTAGCCAGAAAGCTGAACAAAGGTGAATGGAGAATGATGGATAGGAGAAGAAGTATACTTTCAACGGCTAAGAATTGTTTTTATTTTTAGTTTGCCTCCTTCAAAATTGAGAAAGATCACCATTCATTGTAAACTTTGTGCCAGTAGCAACAAATACACATTTAAGTTATCAGGGTGTGTGATACAGC